ACCTCTGAGCCTCAACTTCCAAGCAACGCCTTATAAAGAAAAAGAGCGTGCGCACATGTTTGTCGGTCGCACCCTTTTATCTTGGACTGCATGTTCCCTTTCGGATTGAAGCAGTGATCAAGATTCTAACGACACGTGTCTTGCCCAGGTTGGCGGCCACCCCGGCGTGTTCCTGAACGGCCGAAGACACTGCTTCGAGCGCATGGTGACGATATACAAATCATCCAAGAAAGCAGCGAGAAACTCTCCTGGCCGGAGCTGCTGGGCTGCCACCAACGCCGCGTGCTGCGCAAGGGCAATCAGGGCGGGAGTCACTTCTTCGAGTTTGTCAAGGAAGGCCGCCCAGGATACCGAGTCATAAGCGCAAAGCCCGTCAAGAGACACGACGGTGCGGCACGAAGCAATCCGTCCAGCTCGCGCTTGCCTCGGCAACTCGCTGGCACCTCAGGGGCGCGCGCACGAGCGTGCGAAGGGGGCAGCCGCAGCAGGCATGCAGGCCGCGGCAAGCAGCGAGGACGGGGGCCTGGCGGAAGCGCCTGGCACCGCTGGTGCGAAAGCAGGCGCCGGGGCCGGCGCTGAGAAGGCCGCCAGAGAGCGCGAGGGGGAGGTGAGGAGGGCGACCGGCGACACCGCGCGGTACTGCCAGCGGCCCTCCGAGCCGGACTCCGAGGGCAGGCGAAAGCCTCCAAGGCCTCCAGCCGCACGACCAGGAAGGGACCCTCTAGGTCCCCCGCGCGGAGAACCCCGGTTCCATGCGCGTCGGCCCGAGCCAACAGGAAACCGAGAACAAGGGGCAGCCAAAAACAACAACCAAGAACAAAACCACACGCGAGCCCCCGGAGCCAAGGAGGCTTGAGCGATGTTGCACAGCCAACACGCTTTGTCCCGTTGCAAGGAGAGCGTTTGAGAGCTGCCTTCACGGCAATTGATGCCTTGGATGTAGAGATGGTGCTCAGGCACCCATGCCGCTCCATTCGGTCCCCGCACTTCCTTAAGGGCGCTCTTCGCAAAGCTCTCCGCTTTGCCTTTGGCTTGATCCACAAGGCAGAGCGGGCGTGGAAGCTTTGGCTCTTTCTGCCACGTTCTTGCTTCGCCCCGCGGGAGGTGCACCAGTGCCCAAGCAGGACTTCTTGACCCGTTTTGATGCGTTTTTTCGGGGTGAATGACAACAGCTAGTGAATGTTTCCGGAGCATTCCCAAATGGGAGCCAGGCAGGTCCCGCGGAGGCCCATCAGCTCGGCAAGCCCTGCTGTTTGAGCGACTCGCACCTGATGCCGCCACTATCCAGTGAGTAAGCCCAACCAAGCCTATCAGCCCATGCCACCCGATCTGTTCCGCCGCGCCTGCCTGACCAGTCCTTTGCCAATCTCCGATGCTCACGCAAGGGAGCAGCGCCAGGTTGCAGCGGGTTACTAAATTTAAGAGTCATGAAACATAGCGTTTTCTGGAGGGTTTTAGCGTACAGGTACGGTGCAGGTCGGCACGGTGGTACAGTCAACAGGTACGATTGGTACGCTGCAAGGGTATGACTGGTACGGTACAAGCGTACGACTGGTACTGTACAAGGGTACGACTGGTACGGTACAAGGGTGCGACTGGTACTGTGCCAGGGTTGACTGGTACGGTACAAGGGTACGACTGGTACTACGGTGCAAGGGTACGACTGGTACTACGGTGCAAGGGTACGACTGGTACGGTGCAATGGTACGACTGGTTTGCTACAAGGGTACGACTGGCGCGGTGCAATGGTACGACTGGTACGGTACTATGGTACGGCTGGTACGGTACTTCGGCTGGCACGGGATTGAGAACCTTGGTGGGGCTGCTTTGTGTGAGCTGATGCTTGCTGCTTCCATCATGAAAAGCTTTTGTGTAAATGTCGGCTGCCATTTGATGGACTGACTATCATCGTGCAATATGACATATGATGTCGACCACCCCTTGCTGCATGACACCAATTGGGCGTTGGGTGACGCCCCTAACGGAGCCGTCACGAGCGGTCATGTCACGCCCTTACCAGCCAAACTGGACCCATCCAGCAAGGCCTTGCTCCGGTTGCAGCAAAGCGCCTTCACCAACCGTTTTCTGATCACTGTGACTAGGAGTCGCACATGACTACGCCCCGGACACGGCCGCTCGGCTTGCGCAACGGAGCGCAGCTGCGATAGCTCAAGTTGGCTCTTGGTGCGAGTGTTTTGCGTTTTCTCCTGGTTTTGGTGCGGCCGCTCTTTGGGCTACACGGCGGGAGCCACGGACTGCGTAGCTGGGAAGCGAGCCCAGCGGCAAAACGTAACAAGCGCAACCTGAACCTTGAATTGCCGCTGACCGTCGGGCGCCGGCTGCACGTCGTTGGAAGCCCCGCGTCACCGCGCCGAGCTGTCGCTTCCGCTTCCCACCAGCGGCGGTGGGGTCAGTGCGCCGCTTGAGGGCGACATGCGGGTAAGTGCCAGTCTCACGTCTCACGCGGCCTCACCGACGTTCAACGGAAAAGGCCGGGACCCCAAAAAGTAAAAATAAAAACAAACAAAACTAAACAACCAACCATTGGATTCTAAGACCCCCTCCGGGGAGACTGCCCAATGAACTGAAACGGTCAACACTATTGGTGGCCGCTGCCAGCGTTCTAAGTACTCTGCAATTGAAAGTAGTATTCGTGAGGAAATGTGGGATTTGAAAATGTTGTTCTCGCTCTAATCGCGGAAGGCCGCGTTCGTGGAAGGGTTTTACCAATTGCCCAGTCGCGAAAGGCTCGCGTAGCCCCTTGGATGCCTTCTACGTTTCCATTGCCGTAACAAGGGCTCAGACACGCGGTGTGGCATGGTCCCTTGTCAATGTCGCAAACATGATGCAGAACAATGGCAAAGTCCAATCTAGAAAGCTTTGCGGGAAACATGGCTGCGGCTCCCTCAACCTGCGAGATTTGCGTGTGCGGCTGCGCCTTGACGCGCCGCGCCGTCGGTGGCCTGGTGCGCCCACAACTCTGCCAAACTCAGCTAGCGTTGTTGGATGGTTATGTAGCATGGCATAGCTCTTGTAATGCGCAGCTAGTTCACAAGTAGCGCAACAAAGAAGCAGCCAAAATGCACTCGGAATTAGGCGAGATTCGCGTAAGCTCCGTAAGCTCCGCGCAAGCTCCGCGTAAGGGCCGGGTGCTGATGCAACGCGACGCTGACCACGGTGCGTGCATTCTCCAGTTCCTCGTTTCCGTGGAAACTAGCCGTGGAAATCTTCCGGCCACATGGTCGAGATCCTGCGTTTTGTCCTGGATGATGAGGCAGACTCCGACCGCTTTCTGTCCCCCCTGCCATTGCTTCCGCCCTTGGCCCCGGCCGAGCTCAGCAGTGTGCCGCTCCCATCCAGGAAGCATGCAGCCGACACCAATTTGCTCTGTCCACTCGCTCTGCCACCGATTCTGTGGTGCACTCGCCTCCGTTGATGGAGTAGGACCCTTCGACACGATCTCTCGCATTGCTAAGCTGCTTGGCTTGCCGCACAACGTCTGCCTCTCCCAGATGAACTTGGACGTGCCTGCGCAGGTTATATCCCCATATTGCAGGCTGCGCAGACGCCACCATCGTCAGACCCAACGCAATCACTCGCTTCGGGTTCGCTTGTCGTTTGACGGGAGCGTCTTACCGTCGCAGTGCAGCGCGCCTTTGTGGCGAATTTCGCAGGCCTGCCGCAGCCCTGGCTGACACACGCTGGGTTGCCGGCAGCTGCCAGCAAAGTTTTGCACAGTGATCGACAAATCTTGCGTTTCCCTCACAGGCCTGTTGCCGTATTTCATGGTTCTTTGCGAAATCGAGGCATTGGAAGGCTGATGATTTTATGTACGCACCTGTATGGCAAGGCCAGCCTAGGTCTAAGCTTGTCAAGAAGCCTGTGCGTGGCAGCGTTCAATGGTGGCATATCCTCGAGCCCGCTCATGGCCACTGTCTTTGCAAATTTTGGATGCCCACGGTTCTGCCTTGAGGGTGTCGTATTTCAGCAGCACTTCTCAATTTGCAGTGTCACATTGGTGGACTTGTTGACGATCGGGAGCAAAACAAAAGTGTTTCAGCTTTCCTATCTTCAAATCGTGAGCAGCAGGTTGGGTATGTTGTTTTCGGAAGGGCTTGCATGGAGGATAATTTTGCCCCGACTGGCGCGATGGCTGTGTGCATCTGTGTCGGCCGCGGCGCCATGCCAGCCATGGGACATGTGTCACAACTAGAGGCATTCGAGCCGGCCAGGGTAGGAGTTGCTTGAAGTGGTCGGATGTGAAGTACGACATGGGGCCGTGCCGGCTAAGATTTACAAGGCTCGCCTGCGGTCAGTCCTCGCAATGTGTGGGCACGTGATGAACAAACAACAACATTGCCAGCGTGTCATCACATTCCGGTTTGTGTGGCAAGGATCCGTTGGACAACCTGGTCGCAAGCCCGGCACATTTGCTGCAAGCCGGCTTGGCTCAAAGCCGCCGCGTGTGCCACCGGCAGCCCGTAGCTTTGCAGCTCTGCGCAGGCATGTGGGGCTCGGCAACGTTGGTGTGGGCAAGGGCTTGGGATGGCTTGGGATTTGTACCTCAATTTGTATAAGTCACTTGCATTTGCACGGCAGTACTTCGAAATCATTTGAAATACTCCCACACTCCTAGTCTTCACACACCTTGCTCTGCAGGTCGCAATGAAGTTTTTGGTGAGCTTCCTCATCCTTAGCGTGGGCCAAGGCGCGTTTCTGCGGCATTTGGCGGAGGACCACCTGCCTCCCATTCCTCCGCCACCAGCAGTGCCAGCGCTTCCAGACTTGCCGCAGCTCCCGCCCTCGAGCTTTCAAGTGGCGCCGCCTACGCTGCCAACACCACCCGCCTCAGCAGCCTCCACCAGCCTCCCAGTCAGCGAAGTGGCACCTTCAGCAAATTGATGGAGGCAGTCGACTGAGGAAAATGGAGAGCTAAAAGAGATGGAGCGAGTTGCTGCAAGATGCCGAAATGGTTTGTGAGATGTATTGGTTTTATACGCGGCTCAAGGAAGCCTAGTTGCACTGCAATAGTGGGAGGGCAGATGGTGTAAGCGCATTTCAATGCCAGTAACGTAGGGTCTCACTTCTCATTGCCAGCGCCCCAGGCTTTTCTCACCTCAATCACAGGGCCAAGAGCCACAGCCGCTGTCAGACTGCGGGGGGTGGCCCATCTTGTGAATCAGAATTCCTAAAGGCGATGCAAATGGACTTCCTCGAGTGAAGGCCCTATCTCGTCAAGCTCCCCAGGGAAAGCTCAGGTGATTTTGTTCTTCCGCCTTTCTGTTTGAGTTGGTTTCCGTGCACTGGAAGGCTGCGCAAGGAGATGTTGATACAGGGGGATTTTGAGGGTGGGGGGTGGGTGAAGATTGACAGGTTGACTTGTGTTGCTTCCTTGGTTCCTATAGAAAGGCATCAAGAGGTGGGCCACGATGCCCGGCATGTCAAAAGCAAACCAAAGCGAACACCACCATGTCCTTGTTGTGACACGTGGCCAGGGTTTTCGTTCAGGCAGGGCGGCTTGTGAGTTTGCGCTCAGGCAATGGCTTATGGAGCTGAAGGGTCAAACCCTTTCAGCAGCTCGGCTCAGTTTCACTTGGTGGCCGTTTCGGATTGGCAAAGCCCTCCAACCCCCGCGTTCGTACAGGACTCACCCACTCCTAACCGCTCAACAAATGTTGCATCATCAGTTTGGTCAGAGGTTGACATCCAAATGGGTCTGATGATCCCTTGTGCTTGCGGACGTGACAGGAATTGTTGGATCAAGTTTTAACAAAAGGGATGTTTGGGCACACACTGTGCCATTGTTTGCGGTGTTGTTGACTCGAGACTTGGCAAGACGGGGATCCTTTCGACAATAACGATGTGTTTCTGCAGATATCCCATCAAATTATGGTGGAATCAAGCCGCAGCATTGCAAAACAACAGCAATTGAATCCCAGCCAAAAGAGCGGAAATGTGTCAAGTTGTGCCAAATTCCCACCCTTAGGGACCGACGGAGCAACCCACGCCGCCTTTGTTTCGGGGTCCGGGCCAAACAAATTCTGGAACCATACATGCCCCCCTCCTGATCCGTTTGTGGGCCCAAGTTTGGGGTCTCATGGCACGGGGTACCCCGGATGCCCTACTAAGGCTTACCAAGCCTTTCTAAGGCAGGGAGGCCTCCTTCTTGATACGGAATTTAGGCAACCATTGCGGGTGGTTTCGGATTCCCTCAAAAGCGCCTTTAGTCCTAAACCACCTCACTGGGGAAATTAGAATGCCCACAATCCTTTTGTGGCTGCCTGCAAACCTCTCCTTCCCTTCTCGGGCCCACCGGGATGTTGATAGACTGTCCCGTGCGGAGCTCAGGGGTCGCCTGACCAAGGCTTGCCCCAGGAGCTGGAGTGCTTCTGGCTGCAGGAGCCCGCGCCGGAGCGCTCAGCCGAAGAGCGGCTGCAGGCCGGGGAATCAGAGGTTTGATTCAGCCCCCCGTGCTTGCTGCTTGGCTTGTTTGCACGGTTTACACGGTTTGGTTGGTTGCTTGCTTGCTTGTTTGTTTGTTTGCTTGGTTTGTTTGGCTGGCTTGTTAGTTTGCGTGTGGTTATACTGTTTTCTTGTTCACTTGCCTTCTGTTGCGTGTTTGTTTGCACAGTTTGTGCCGTTTGTTTGTACTGCCTGCTTGTTTTGCTTGCTTGCTCATATGGTATCGTATTGTATTGTACTGTCCCAAACTCTGGCCTCAAACAAGTTTTGCTCGAGGCTTGTCATTAGGGAAGGGGTGAAGTGGGGACAAGACTGTGATGAGACTGCGGGGGCGGTACGGCCGAAGTGTTTCTTGTATTTGTTGTTTTTTTAGAAGATGGCAGCTGGCCTTGGCCCTTCAGGAAAAGAAGCTGCGAGTCTGGGAGAAGCCCACCTGCTCCTCCAGCTATGGCTCCATCCGCAAAGTCCGGGACGAGGAGCTTCCAATGGCGTCCGGGGCTCGAATCTTTGTCGGGTCACTTCGACCTGGGCGCACTCTATTGGTGCCCGGAAATGCTGTTGTTGTTTACTTCAGCTTATGATGGTCCGTCGGCGCTCTGTAGTCCCGACTGGGCCCCAGGTTTGTTAAAAAGAAAGCCGGCTTATGGCTCACAACCAAACCACGAGAAGGTTCACTATTTGGTACAGGATCTCTGGTTACATTGGGGGGGAGCTGTGGCAAGGCCTGGGCTTGTCTCCAAACAGGGGGTCCTACAGCAAGGTGGTTTGCCTCTGGCTTTCCTTGGTCGACCACCACAAAAGACTGAGCCTCAAGAAAGACATGGCAATAAGAGCTTTGGTATCTATTTTTTAATAGGGGATCTTTGGTGGACATCATGTGTCTGAGAAAATGTGCAACTACCCCATCATTCCAGAGGTGTATGGATATGTGTCAGACAAGGGGTCCCAAAAAGAAAGGCTTCTTTTCGGCTTCCCTTTAGCCAAGCTCACAAGGTCGCCGTTGCAAACACACGCGCGCCCATACCTCTGGCATAAATATATATATATATATATATAGATATGTATATATATATATATTCACATTGATTGATTCATTTATGTATTTTGTTATATATGGTATTTATTTACTTTGCTTCATTTATGTATTTATTGTCTATGCAGGTATGTATACGTATGTGTTTTCATGTGCGTACGCCGTTGGTGACCATCTGGGATTCGAGCTTCCTTGTTGGGGCACATCCGAGGCCAGTGCCTGAGTCAGTTCACTTGGCACTGGCGGCAGCAAAGGCCAAGGCGCCGGGGCGAAGGTTTTCCGGGTTTCCAGAAAGGATGCATCTAAGCACCGCCTGCTTTACAAGGGATTCCTCTAAGTCAGATGGTGAAGGTCATCTTTAAATTGATTCAAAGGGAACCTGTGGCTCCATCCAAGTTTCGCCAGGTCATGGAGGAAGAGCGACCAGACAACACCTTCCTCACGCCAGGGCCTGAGAGGCTCCAGCGTTTTTTGTCTGAAGCGCGGTGGAGGAATGTTTTATGTTGTTCGCCTGGCACTGGCTCGCAGAGAGCAACGGCTAGGTTGGGTGGTCGGTGGGTGGGTGGGTGATGGTGGCCGGGTGGGTGGCTGGCTGGCTGGCTGGCTTGCTTGCTTGGTTGGCAGGGTATCCTTATTGTAAACCATAAAGGGGCTTCGGCAAAAGAACGCCGCCAGCACAGGAGCCTAATGGAGCCTACCCGAAAAATGGGGAGGACGAGGGAGTTGGAAACAAAGAGCGGCCCCACTAAAAGTGGCGAAGCTCAACAAGGGGTTTCCTTCTTTTCACCAGGGTCACTGGGCAAGTGGGGCAATGTCTAAGACAACGCCTGGAACCACAAGGTACGATTGTGAAAGGGTTGCCCTCCCGTCAACATCAACAATCATGGTTTGGTGCACAGACCCATTTTGGGAGACAGGCTTTCTGTTGGAAAAGAGGCAGCTATGGGGGGGGGGGGGCTTCTAGGCCACGGGTTCAGCACTGGCCACGCTGCCTTGGACAAGGTCCAGGAGTCACAAATGCTGGCTTAAATGGCAGCAGCTTTAGTAGGACCCAGGCTGCCCAGACGCTTCCTGAACTGAGTGGGGGAGTTTCACTGGAAAAGTTCCATGGTTAAGGCGATTTTTAGCCGGGAGATTTACAGACTGCTTGAAATCTCCTCCAAACCTATTTTAGATATTAGGGTTGGGCAGGCACGTAACACAATCTGAAGCCAAGTTAAAGTAGGAGGACTTGCCAAAGGGCCCTTCCTGAGGACCGTAGCCACAAAGCCGGCGGTGGGCCTGGTCGAGCCGCTGCACAAGAGCGGGGGAACCCGTTTTTTTTCCCCAGTACTGGATAGGGGGTGGATTCTTCTTCTGGAGCCTGAGACGTGGGTGTCCTCCTGGCCCCGCGTGGAAGTAGTTTCTCTCAGAGCCACTGGCAATGAAGTGACGCTCAGTGATTGTTGTTGTCTTGTGGCGGGTATTCAGGCACGCCAAAGAAGGGGCACCTTGTTTTGTGTTGCAGTTTTTCAGGCTGGCTGATTTTAAGGGGGAAGTAAAGGAAGGATTTGATTCCCATTGCTGTCCATTCATTTCAGGGTTGGCTGACTTCGAGCGGCACCCAGCACGAAAAGAAATTGAACAATTTTGCCACCGGCATGCTGGTGGCTGGTCAAACAAAACCACGGGCACATATATATATATATATACAGTATACACATATGACCGGGATATTCCCACCATCCGAGTGCTTGTTTCGTTTTTGTTCCTGGGGGATGCTTGAGAAGTTCCTGTTTGCTGGAAGCAGCCGATCCTTTGGCCACCTGATTTATTGGCCCCTTGAGTTGTTAGCAGAAGCTGGGTGTCTGGATCACCCGGTTGTCCTTCCAAGGCAAACCTGCACTTGAACCAAAAAATCATTTCTGGCCTGCCCTGCGGTTGCAAAATGACCGGCCCTGGCGGACGATGGGCCCAAGACAATTTGTCAATGCCCCAGGTGAGAAGGACATCAGAAGCTACGTGCAGAAGAAGCGGGAAGTCTTCCTGGTTCACATGGCCTGCGACAACAAGCGGGAAGAAATCGCCCAGAGCTTAGCTAACGGCCCACAAACGAGTGGGGGAGCAGTGGAGTGAGTCTGGACACGTTGCACATACAACAGTGTACGTGTGTATGTATGTATACATGTCACGTTTTGCAGCCACATCATATGTAAATGGCACATCCAATATGAATGGCATTAGCTGATATCATACCTGGTGGGCAACCTTTATCTTGGGTGTTCTTTCTGGAATCCAAAGAAATATGTAAGAACTCTTGGTCGGCATGCAAAATTTTGCACCTGGAGGCATCCAAAACAAACCCTGGGCCCCTTTTAATAGAGATGGAGCAGGCACGTCGACTGGAGTTCCATGTTCGCGAGGGCTGGAATTTGACTGCTCCCAAGCTGACATGCTTCGGGCGAATTGCTAAGTTATAGCCAACCCAAGCGAAACCTCAGTCCCAGTTTAACCCTGCCATAAACCATTTATGCACTGCAATTACTAGCCATCTAGTTGGCCTCAGAGCCATTTCACCCGTGCTTTGTTTGGTGGTTTGGTGACCTTGGTGGCTTGGGGCTGAACCCTCCGAGAACCTAGAGGCTTTGAGGCCATTCCAAAATAAGAGGTTCACTCCCCCCCAGCAACCAGCGGTGAAACACACTCTTTGGGGTCACGTCATCCACCTTTGAATCTGGATTTCAGAGTCAATTCTGAGGATCCCTAAGGACCACACAGCACGTACGACGTACCATAGTGTACAGGTCACAAATGATGCTTCCCTAAGAGCCCGGTCTTTTTTCGGCGGACGCGCTTCGCGACCTTCTCTTTTCGTTTCTCGAGGTGCGGCTCGATGCCATGGCCAAAGCCAAAGAGGATGCCTTGGCCGCGTCGCAGCAGACGTTGGATGACGACGCCAAGAAGTTCGAGGAGTACTTGCAGGCGCCAGGGCGCATGGCTTTAGGGGTTCTCCCTTATAGGTTTGTCGCAAAATGAGGGAACCGGCGAAATGCATAGATTGTTCAGTGCCATGCTTGTGGTTGTTTCAACACAACCACGAACTGAGGCCCCCTTGAAAGGCAGGGATGGATTTTGAGGGGAAATATAGGGAAGTATGCCAAAGTCCCCATACCTCCGGCCAGGTGACGCATCCGGCAATGGCCTCTCCTTTTTCACATGTAGAGTTCCTGTCCAATAAAGGCAGGTGACACTGATCAGGCGTGATTGCTGATGGCTGATGCATGGGTGCTTTAGGCAGATGTCATACTGTTTGTACAGGATGGTTGCCGCCCACTTCGAGCTTAGTGCGGAGGATCAATCCACAACCCCCGACCGCACCAGCCCTGGCAAATCTGGAGGGATTCAAAGAACTCCAAGGTGGGTTGTTCGCAGGAGATTCTTCAGGAATTCGCCAAGCGTTCTATAAAAGGGATTGGTCAAAGGATCTTTCATGTAACCAGCATGAGTCCACCATGACCAACAGGCTGGCCATGCTGGGACATGTGGGTTCAAACGCCTTCCCGCCATCCGCCAGCCCAATGGCAGGAGAGGATTTCCAAGGCATCAGAAGCCACAAAGGATAGCGAGTCGCACGCCAAGGCGCATTGTGCACAGCTATTGGCCAGTTTAGTAGGTGGTTCTTGCACCTGGTCTTGCTCGGAGCCATGTTGGCAGAACCAAAAGTACATTGGTTCTGGGCGATGCTCAGGTGTTCTTTTTACCATGATCCTGTCATTCCCCTTTGTGTGTGGATGCCTTTTGGTGGGGTGCTGTTTAATGGGGGAATTATAAGGAGTCATGCATTGGGCGTGGATTGAACCCCAGAGGTGTCCTTTGAACCGGTTAGTTCGGTTGAAACTGTGTCCACTTTCCAGCCCACACTTCTCCGAGGGCCGGTTTCTTCTTGCGCAACGTGGGGCTGTCTGAGTGAACCGGCAATGTTGTCGGCTTGCTAAAGGTGAATGAGCCGCAAAGCAAACTTGCCAAAAGCAACAGTTGACCACCAGGAATGCAGAAGGTACGCCCTCCCCTCGTGCTCCAACGATCATGGAATCTGAGGAAGTTGTGGGAAGACCACTTTGTTGGGAACCTCCATCCATTTCCACTTTTCACCTTGTGACCTTGTGCATAAGCAAAAATAGTAGATGATGAGTATGAAGATTAGACAAATGAATAAAGACCAGTATAGTGGATGAATTCATTTAGTGTCGATGGATGGATTACTTAGATCCACTTCCCCCGTCTTGATTGTTGTAATGGATCAGTACATCTGTTTCCAGGTGAAGCAAGACAAAGCCACCAAGATCAAGCAGCTCAAGCAGCAGATCGCCACCGTGCAGAGTGAGACGGGTAAGCTAAAAGAGGCTCTTCAAAAAGCTATCAATGTGTGTGGTTGTGTGTGTTTTGCTTGTGTGGGTGTGTGGGTGTGTCAGTGGTTGTGGCTTGCATGTGTGTGTGTGTGCGCGCGTGTGTGTGTGTGTGTGTGTGGGTGTGGGTATGTGGGTGTTGTTTTGTTTGTGTGTGTAAATGCCTGTGTGCGCGTGCTTGTTTGTTTATGTGTGTGTGTGCGTGTGTTTTGCAAATGTGTGTGTGTGTGTCTGTGTGTGTGTGTGTCTGTGTCTGTGTCTGTGTGTGTGTCTGTGTGTCTCTGTGTGTCTCTGTGTGTCTCTGTGTGTCTCTGTGTGTCTCTGTGTGTCTCTGTGTGTCTATGTGTGTCTCTGTGTGTCTCTGTGTGTCTCTGTGTGTCTCTGTGTGTCTCTGTGTGTCTCTGTGTGTCTCTGTGTCTCTCTGTGGTGTCTCTCTGTGTCTCTCTGTGTCTCTCTGTGGTGTCTCTCTGTGTTGTCTCTCTGTGTTGTCTCTCTGTGTTGTCTCTCTGTGTTGTCTCTCTGTGTTGTCTCTCTGTGTTGTCTCTCTGTGTTGTCTCTCTGTGTTGTCTCTCTGTGTTGTCTCTCTGTGTTGTCTCTCTGTGTTGTCTCTCTGTGTTGTCTCTCTGTGTTGTCTCTCTGTGTTATCTCTCTGTGTTATTGTCTCTCTGTATTGTTGTCTCTCTGTGTTGTTGTCTCTCTGTGCTGTTGTCTCTCTGTGTTGTTGTCTCTCTGTGTTGTTGTCTCTCTGTGTTGTTGTCTCTCTGTGTTGTTGTCTCTCTGTGTTGTTGTCTCTCTGTGTTGTTGTCTCTCTGTGTTGTTGTCTCTCTGTGTTGTTGTCTCTCTGTGTTGTCGTCTCTCTGTGTTGTCGTCTCTCTGTGTTGTCTCTCTGTGTTGTCTCTCTGTGTGAGGTTGTCTCTCTGAGTGGTTGTTGTCTCTCTGTGTTGTTGTCTCTCTGTGTTGTTGTCTCTCTGTGTTGTTGTCTCTCTGTGTTGTTGTCTCTCTGTGTTGTCGTCTCTCTGTGTTGTCGTCTCTCTGTGTTGTCTCTCTGTGTTGTCTCTCTGTGTTGTCTCTCTGTGTCGTCTCTCTGTGTCGTCTCTCTGTGTCGTCTCTCTGTGTCGTCTCTCTCTGTGTCGTCTCTCTCTGTGTCTCTGTCTGTGTCTCTCTCTGTGTCTCTCTCTGTGTCTCTCTGTGTCTCTCTGTGTCTCTCTGTGTCTCTCTGTGTCTCTCTGTGTCTCTCTGTGTCTCTCTGTCTCTCTGTGTCTCTCTGTGTCTCTCTGTGTCTCTCTGTGTCTCTCTGTGTCTCTCTGTGTCTCTCGGTGTCTCTCGGTGTCTCTCTGTGTCTCTCTGTGTCTCTCTGTGTCTCTCTGTGTCTCTCTGTGTCTCTCTGCGTCTCTCTGGGTCTCTCTGTGTCTCTCTGTGTCTCTCTGTGTCTCTCTGTGTCTCTCTGTGTCTCTCTGTGTCTCTCTGTGTCTCTCTGTGTCTCTCTGTGTCTCTCTGTGTCTCTCTGTGTCTCTCTGTGTGTCTCTGTGTGTCTCTGTGTCTGTGTGTCGTAGTGTGTCTGTGTGTCTGTCTGTCGTGTGTTTGTGCGTGGTGTGTGTCTGTGTGTGTGTATGTGTCTCTTGTGTGTTGATGCCTGTGTGTGTGTGTTGTCTGTGTGTGTGTGTCTGTTGTGTGTGTGTGTGGTATGTGTGTGTGTGTGTCTGTGTTGTGTGTCTCTGTGAGTTGTTGTCTGTGTGTCTGTGTGTGTGTGTGTGTCTGTGTGTGTGTGTCTGTGTGTGTGTGTCTGTGTGTGTGTGTGTGTGTCTGTGTGTGTGAGTGTGAGGGTAAGGGTGAGTGTGAGGGTGTGTGTGTGTGTGTATGTGTGTGTGTTTGTCTGTGTGTGTGTCTGTGTGTGTGTGTGTCTGTGAGTGTGTCTGTGTCAGTGTGTGTGTGTGTGTGTGTGTGTTTGTGCGCGTGTCTGTGTGCATGTCTGTGTGTGTGTGTTGTGTGTTGTGTGTTGCGTGTTGTGTGTTGCGTGTTGTGTCTGTGTGTTGCGTGTTGTGTCTGTGTGTTGCGTGTTGTGTGTGTGACAGCTCATAGCAAAGAATGAATGGAGTCGGTCCCCACTCTGCTGGGCTTGGGGATCCTGATCAAAACCAGCAGAGCATCCGAAACTGCAAACACACAGGGAGGGCCTGGGCGGATGTCTCCGCAGCTGGCATGCCTCTTTCTTTCGTCCGTTTGATCCTCTGGATACGTTTCTGATGGGACTGTCTCAGATCAAGTATGACAGCTATGATAGCAAAGAGTTTTTTGGCAGGCAACAAGCAAAACACGGAAACTTTCTCCTCTCGAGGAGCGGATCAAGTGTGCATCCCACGCTGGGTTTTCTGATAAAGTGCCCAGTGGGTTTTCCCACATGTCTCAGAGTTCCACGTCGTTTGATCTTGATCGCTGCAACTGTACGTCGCTGATGCATGTGAGCTTGACTACCGCAGAGGATTGTAAGGTCCGAGAGGATGACATGGCTAAGCCACGAATATGCCACCTCCCTGCTTCCCGACTTTGTGTCTCACTTCACTTGATTTTCACTTTCCAACTCCGCAGAACAGGCAGAGCAAATCTGTCACAGTCCAGCAGCTGTTGATGCAACAGAACTCACGAGCAGCCATGCCCCAAGTGGGGAACTACTTCTTCACTGCCGCAGAGGAATCAGGCGCCTCGCCTGACGCAGATTTCAGAGTGAAGCCACACTTGAAGGTCCTGTGGCCACCTCCGCACAGCGAACACACACGACATTGCGAGCTCGGACTTTTCAACTTCCCCCAGGCACTTTTCCACCGCCCGGCGATCTTGTAGATCGGCCGCCTGGTAATTTTTCAAGCATACAGGAACGACCCCGCCGTCGCTCCAGAAAGCCCCGCAGGGCTGAGTCCAGCACAAGAGGGAGGCGTCACAGTCGATCGCAGCATCGACGCCGCCGTAGGAACGGTCGCCCCGTCAGGAAAGAACTCGTTCCCCTCGCCCAAAGCGCCCGGAGCGAAGGGCTGGCATAGACGCCGAACTGTTTGCAGCTGCCCCGAAGGCACCAAATTGGCAGGGCTTCCGGATTGACAGGGTCCCCAACCCGGACCCGGACCTTCGCCAACAGGGCCACCGCCCAACCCATGCACGTTTCACTAATTTCATCCGACATCTGATTTACAACAGACTCCTACACCACTCTCAACGCTTGGAGTGGGAAACCCGGCACGCGAAACGCTTGAGTATCCACAATACGTAGGCCAGAGACCTGCCTCGTCTGCGAGAAATCCTTGGGTGCATGTTCCCAACCCTGCAGGCAACTGGGTACTCAGCCAAAGGTGAGGTCAATGGAGAGAAGTTTAAACTCGCTAGCCCGCGAGAATGGTACCAACACATGCGAAACATGCAGCAAGAGTCGGATCTGCGGGACTTCTGGTGTTCTTCGGCTGATGAGACGCAGTTGGTGTCAAAGCATGGCCGGTCAGTTTGGATAATGTTTCAACCCCCGTGGCAAGAACGCCGCCAGATCAGGTAGAGGCCGTCCTTAGGTTCTCAGTGTACAATGCCGGAGAACCTGCCCTACTTTTCTTCCTGCTGTCTTTATTAAATTCGGCACCGGCCGCTACGCATGGTTTCAGGCAAAGACGATCCAGAATGATTCGGCTACTAAATATACCACTTTCATCGGGCTTTGAAACTCTCCCGATGAACGCTTTTTGTTCCATCAGCCCGGAGTGAGTTGTGTTTGAGTCTTTTAAGGCTGCCGCCCAGATCGGCAAAGAGACAACCGCTACGCACGAGGGTAGGGTCTTGAGCTCGTGCCAGTCCTTTCATTGAGACGATGCACCGCCATCTTTTTCGCACCAATGCATGCCTCGAGGAAGTTTGACGCTTTTCAATCACTGTGGCAGAGCACCTTCTTTAAGTCTTTTGAGGCTGCCGCCCAGATCGGCAAAGACAGCCGGCACGCACGAAGGTACATTTTGAGCTCGTGCCAATCTTATTGCTGGAGCCCTCTACTGACGCTTCATCGCAAGAAAATACAATGTGCAAAAGCTATGTTTCCAACACATGAGTGCCACTCCTTCCTGGAACCAGGCCTTCCCCATTCTGAGGGGCGGGTGACAGCTCATAGCAAACAATTTTCTGCAAGGAATGGGGTCGGTCCCCACTCTGCTGCGCTTGGGGATCCTGATGGGAAACCCAGCAGAGCATCCGAAACTGCAAATAAACAGGGAGGGCCTGGGCGGATGTCTCCGCAATGCCAGCCTCTTTCTTCTTTCGTCCGTTCGAACCCCTGGGTACGTTTGTGATGGGACTGTCTCAGATCAAGTATGGCAGCTATGATAGCAAAGAGTTTTTGGCAGGGAATGCAACAAGCAAAACACAGACCAGGTGACTTTCTCCAGCGGATCAAGTGTGTGTGTGTGTGTGGTGTGTGGGGTGTGTGTGGTGTATGTGGTGTGTGTGTGTGGTGTGTGTGGTGTGTGTGGTGTGTGTGTGGTGTGTGTGGTGTGTGTGGTGTGTGTGTGTGGTGTGTGTGGTGTGTGTGGTGTGTGTGGTGAGTGTGGCGGGTGTGGTGCGTGTGGTGCGTGTGGTGCGTGTGTGTGTGTGTGGTGCGTGTGTGGTGTGTGTGTGTGTGGTGTGTGTGGTGTGTGTGTGTGTGGTGTGTGTGGTGTGTGTGTGTGTGTTGTGTTGTGTTGTGTGTGTGTGTTGTGTGTGTGGCGTGGGCGGTGTGTGTTTGTTGTGTGTGTGTGTGGTTTGTGTGTGGTGTGTGTGTGTGGCGTGTGTGTGTGTGTGTGGTGAGTGTGTGTGTGTGTGGTGTGTGTGTGTGTGTGGTGTGTGTGGTTTGTGTGTGGTTTGTGTGTGTGGTGTGTGTGTGTGGTGTGTGTGTGTGGTGTGTGTGTGGTGTGTGTGTGTGTGTGTGTGGTGTGTGTGTGGTGTGTGTTGTGTGTTGTGTGGTGTGTGTGGTGTGTGTGTGTGTGGTGTGCGTGTGTGTGGTGTGTGTGGTGTGTGGTGTGTGTGTGTGTGTGGTGTGTGTGTGTGTGCTGTGTGGTGTGTGTGGTGTTGTGTGGTGTGTGGTGTGTTGTTGTGTGGTGTGTGGTGTTGTGGTGTTGTGTGGTGTGTGGTATTGTGGTGTTGTTTGTTGTGTTGTGTTGCGTGTTGTGTGTTGTGTTGTGTTGTGTTGTGTGTTGTGTTGTGTGTTGTGTGTGTTGTGTGTTGTGTGTTGTGTGTTGTGTTGTGTGTGTTGTGTGTTGTGTTGTGTTGCGTTGTGTTGTGTTGTGTTGTGTTGTGTTTTGTGCGTGTTGCGTTTTGTGTGTGTGTGTGTTGCGTGTTGTGTGTGTGTGTTGCGTGTTGTGTGTGTGTGTGTGTGTTGTGTGTGTGTTGTGTGTGTGTGTTGTGTGTGTGTTGTGTGTGTGTGTTGTGTGTGTGTTGTGTGTTGTGTGTTGCGGGTGTGGGTGTGTGCGTGTGCGTGTGGGTGTGGGTGTGGGTGTGGGTGAGGGTGTGGGTGTGCGTGTGCGTGTGCGCGTGCGTGTGCGTGTGCGTTTGCGTGTGTGCGTGTGTGCGTTTGTTTGTTTTTGTGTTGCGCGGGTGTGTTTGTGCTTGTGTTTTTTTGGTGTTTTTGTGTCCCGGGCGTCCTCCGACATGTTTTCTTGGTCCATCTAGGGGCCACTAAGAAAACAAGCGGACGAGGGCACCCACCCACGCACCAACCACCTACCGACCCACCCACCCACCCGCCCACCCGTAAAAACAAACACAAGCACAAACACAAACACATACACACACAACCAAACAAACAAACGAATAAACAAACAAACAAACCAGCGAAAGAACGAACGAACGAACAAACACACACTGATGTCATTTGACTTGTCGTTCCGTGTGCCACAAAAGGCTGGACAAAGACCTAGCGTGAGGAGCGTGTCCCGTGCAAGCCTGCGAGAGATTGAGGGTTCCTTGACGAGCAAGTAAAGTTGGCGGACAAAGTCCAAGAGAATGGTTCTTGCTGTTTGAATGGAACCCTAAGTCAAACCTTGTTGTCAATCAATTCAACAGAACAAGAGGAGTTTCGGCATCGCTCACTCGACATCCTCATCAGGAACTCCCTCGTCCGACCACGGTTACTGTATGCTCTCGTTCACCGTGGGGGTGTCCGACTCCAATGAAAAACAATTGCCTCATTTCAGGTTTCATGTTTGTTTGTGTGTTTGTGTTTTTTGGGGGGGTCCCGGACCTCCACGAACAAGGGCTCCCAGCCTCCAAACCCTATGCCACGGCCTGAAAATCACCCTCGCGCTAAAAATTCCCAACAGGAAACTCCTCAACCTTTGGGCTGAACTCCAGTCAAAATTCCATTTCATACGTTGCGTATAAATGTCACCAGCTTGGCGTCGGGCTTCTTGGATCTTTTTTGGGAGAATGGAAAGGGGATAGGGGATATTGAATCCTGAATGGGGCCCCACCTTGCTGGGGAATCCGTACTTGGAAGGTGAACTTGGTTCTTGGCTGGACTTATGTTGGACGATAGTTTCCCACCAACAGTTAGCACTTTTAATTTTGACGTCAGACGCGGTCGGAGTGCGAGCGCTACAAGCACTTCCTTGAGAAGCTCACACCGTCAGAGTGGAAGGAAAAGCAGTGCAACACCCAGAGTGGCGCTTCAAAACTAGCTGGACCCTTCCCCACATGGTATGGGCGGCCTGCGCCCCTAAAACATAATGGGAACGAGAAGTCTGTCATTGTCGGACCGTTGTTTTGAGGAGCTTTAGCATCTGGAGCGCTGGGTAATCGCAGGAATGGTCGTGGAAACGTGCGTTTTTTGGTTTCACTTGTTTACAGTTCACCGGGCCGAATACGACCGAAGTGGTCGTTTGGACAGCAGCGCTCGGGTGGACAGATTGATGAACCCTTTTGGGGACCCCAGCGGTCGCAGTCGCCTTGCCGCCCTGTGTGCCAGCTGGAATGATTGCGCATGAGGTACACATGGTCCGCCACTCCCTCCCGCTGGCCCAAAAAAGCTATCAACCCTTTGATCCCCAATTACTTCCTCCAGTTGCGCAACTAGCCACCACGAACAAAAATGAATTGAAAGACCCTGCTTCGCAGCCCTCAGGGCGCGGAAGAAGGAGCAGCGGAAAAAGGATCGGGCAGAGCGGCCGCTCGGCACAAAGTCCCTGCGATGGGGTTGGCGTATGCTGTGTATATATATATATAGAGGTAGCCTGTGTGTGGTGTGGGTGTGTGTGCGCGCGCATGGACTTGCGGAAGGTTGACAGGCCCTAGGCTTGACTTGCCCCCGATTCGTGTTTGTGTCTTCGTCTGTGTGCATGGTTTGCATTGTGCTTACCAGTTTTTACCTGCTCTTTGTTTTGCACGTTTTTTGTTGTTGTTGTTTTTTTTTTACCAGCTGCCACCTATGCTTACATGTTTTTTGAATTGTCTATCCAAGTGGTCCGCGTTGCTCCACGCGTTTCTCAGCTTTCCCGTCCCCCCTGCCTGAGCAAGGGACATGCAGAACTTCTGAAAAATAGTGCGTAACATGCGCTTTGTGATTTGTACCCCATCTTTCCTTAGAAGACTTTATGCGTGTTGCAGAGCCCTTTCATGTTTGTCTAGCGATTCATCTGGCGCAGTTGAGTTTCTATCTATGGTTTATTGTTATATATCTGTACATATGCATATATGTATGTAAGTTATAAGTGTGTATGCAATTATGTGGGTGCTATCTATATACGTGTGTATAGCTAGATCTGTCTGTTAGCAGCCTCCCCGCTGAGGTGGAAAAATGAGCGGCTTGCGCCGATCCTGGAGCAACTGGCCATAGAGGAGGACAGGCTGTCCGAAAAGTTTGCGCAGGAGGAAGCTGAGGCGCGGGTGCAGAACATGTTTGAACTTCAGATTGACAAACTTAGCCTGGCAATCATTGCAGTATTGTTTTCAGTACCGTTGCAAGGGGAGCCAACAAGGGGAGGCGGGTTTGGCAACTAATTCTTCAGGGTGCAGTCCACTCGTGCATGAAGTGCCCATGTCGCTTACATTTGGCCCAGGCAGAAGCCAGCAAGAAAAGGAGCAAGAAAAGTCGGCGGCGAGAAGACGAGGACTTGCGGGCATGAACTGTAACTCCATAATGGTCTGTTTCGGTCGGTTTGACTGAGCATAGATGGTTTCCACTGGCTGTAGCTAGGTTCTAATCATGTGCAAGCGCCATCTATTGGCTTAGGCGTGTTTCAAGTGCTTCAGCGGTGGCTTCAGCCTCATTGGAACCCTTGGTCCCGGCACGGGTTTCGCTCTTCTGTCAAACCCCTCCTTTTTTCCTTGTTCGCAAAGCTTTTTGACTTGGGCACGGCGTCATCAGCCTGTTCGCAGCATTTTGTTTGTGTCCAAGTAGGGGAGCCCCAGAATGGGCATCCTTTTGGCTTTGGCTTTCGCTTTGAACAACACACGAAAGGGGTGCACCCAAGAAGAAGCCTCCACATACTAAGATGTACTCATGCTACACACAGTCCTTGAGCTTGAGTTGCAGAGCAGGTGCACCAGCAGCTCAGAACAGCCATTAGTTTTTGCGGTAGATTGGCATCACCTGTGTCAGGCTCGGGGCTTCTGCGAGCTTTTAACGGCCGGCTGTCGCCAAATGGGAAGATCTCCCTCTCCAGCAGCCACAAAATGTTGGAACCCCAAAACCCCAGCAAGGATACAGTCATGACAGACATAGCCATATGCCAAGCTTGCGGGTGAAACATGGCTGGTGAGCACAAATTCCTTTAGGAGCATCATGCCTACCAACCGCTCCGCAATAACACTGTTTCAGTTAGGTGGAAGTAGATAGCACAAGTCCCCTAATTATGGGTTAGTCATCCCTTGTACTTGTCCACACGACAAGGTTTGCACCCCGGCAGGTTGCTGGTTTCTTTTCAATCGCTGCAACCTGGCAGGAAGAGCTCATGCAGAAACAGCGGGAAAGAGATCTGCGCAAGAAGCGCATCCAGAAAAGAAGGGAGGCAGGGTACCTTAGGGAGCAATGAGTTGAGTCCATTGGGCTTTGGCTTTAACGCAATTTCCCCCAAATCCCCGCGGATCAGCATGCTTCCAAGCCATTGCCTGCCCGCCAGGAAGAAGAGCGGAAGATCAACGCAGAGTCCGCCTTTCGACCGCTCGAAGTGGTTCGGAGGTTTTTGTTCTTCTTTTGGTGTGGCACCCCAGTATGCAGGCCAGGCAGGTCTGTGACACGTGTTTCAGTGATCTGCCGAGGTGGAGCTGACATTGCTGACATACAGGCAGTTTGAATTGTTGTTTGTTGTTTGTTTGTTCTTCTGTGTTTTTAGTAAGTATATTTTGTGTTTGGCTCCTGACTCCTTTCAGAAGCGCAGTTTTTGGAAAGGGAGGTGGGCCAAATGTTCAGTGATAGGAAGGCCCCCCCTTTGAAAGTAGCAAAGCTGTCATAGATTTGACGCCGTTTTAGCATCACAATGATTTCCACACCCAAGCCGTACAATGAACCCAAGCGGGATGCCTATGTGGCGGAGCAAGCAGGTACTTTGAGGTGTCCTCAGAAGAGGAGCCGGAGCTGTTCTTCCAGGACGGGCCGAGTTGGCATAAGCCATTGAGCCGTTTGCAAGCCACCGGGCAACCAAGGGAAGGCGGGTATGAGCACAAAATTGGTTGAATCTTGGACCTTCGGATGTGTGCGAACTATGCAGATTTCACTAACCCACAAAAGTTAAACTTCCTGCGTATAAGGCAATAGCCACCAAGCTATGCAACGCTGCATGCCAACAGCACAATCACTATGTGACGATATATTCACTAGACAACCAACACAGAACCAGCATACCGAGGTATAACTAGTACAACCATTATGACCAGTACGAAACTGTTTAACAATATGGTGGCTTGGGGATATTGAGTGGTGCCAAGAACTCGGCCTCACACTTGAAAAGGGCCCCCTTCACATTCTAGGCTTGGTCACTGCGGTTTTCTAAGGCAACTGAAGGGGAAACAAACCTCCCCCCGCCCCGCACAAGTGTTTTAGGTTTGTCTCCGAATGTGGACGCCAATTCACTTTATGGTGAGTAATGGGGATGACTAAGCCAACCTGCGGAAAACACCCTGTAAACTACGCTCTAAACACGGTGAGCCTTCCGTCCCTAGGAGCCGCAGCAGCTGATGGATACGTTCACAGACTTGGAGGAGCTGAACCTATTTTTGATTCAGAGCTCTCAGGCCGGGGCAAGTACGGAGCCTTTTGCGGCCTTGGATGTCAAACATGTGGCCCCTTCGGACCGCGCAGCCCTGTGCCGCCTTTGCGAAGAAGATGCCAAGAAGGGGCCCTGCTTTTTTTTCACAGCCGCCAGGAAAGACTTCAGGCTAGCTGGGGGTCGCTAACAACTTTGCGATTCCTCCAGGATCAGAAGTGCAAGCTAAGAGAGGTAGGCCCATATCATGTACCCATCGTTGCGGGGGGGCGGGTTGGTGGTTGCTATTTCTGTGAGTGATTGCCACCGGGAGAGGCGGTTATCGGATATGACACTGCTTTGGCATCAGAGGAAGGATTAGTTTCTGGTGATGAGTGCGCCGCCGGAAAAGTGTGTGTCCGATTCGGTACATGTCCAAGCGTTCCCCTTGGTTAGTTGGACTGCAGTGGCCCAATGGTGTGCATGATTTCCACTTAAACAAAACCTGCAATTTCCCGCCATGACTCTACACGTGCGGAGGGGCAAGAAGTTTTGACAGTGGCCCTTGACGTGTAAACGACCCTTTGAATTAAAGGTGACTTTTGCATCACCGTTGTGTTTACAGGTTGTACATGTAGCAGGGATCTAGCAACCTTGTAAACCCATCAAAGAATCGCTGGGGATTCCCCAATGGAAGCAACTAGGAGCTCTATATGCGCCGGCCTTTCCAAAAGGTGATCTTGAAGGCCACACCTCTGAGAAGAAAAACAAAAAGAAAAACAATTTTGGCTTAGCATGGCCCCCTTGAGAGACCAAGCAATAGCACAATGTATGTTGACCCATGTCGAGCTTACCGATCCGGTGGCAAAACGAGCGACTTCGCCCGCGCCAATGGTCCGGTAGGGATCTCTTTTTCAGGATACTTCAGGTTGGTGAGCTGTAGCAATTCGTGCAGGATGCACCCTTTTCTTTTTCAGGGGGAATGTAGGTTGAATGTGTAAAAAACAAGTGTAACGAGAGGGGGGAAGCCTCCGGATTTACGGCTGGAGAGTTGGCACAGGTTGAACACTTTCCAATGTTCCATTTATGAGCCTCAGGGTATCCATGCTTGGCCCCTTGAGTGGAGAACAGGATTCCCTTCAAGCAGCCATCATTGATGGTGAATGCAGTTTCCGTTCATCGAAGATGCGTCGGGCTGAGTCTCTTGCCTTGGCTTGGTGAATTTCCTGGAGAATTACCCCCCTGCAAACTAACATGGAGCCCAAAAAGGGCCCCGCCTAAATGAGGTTCCTCCAAACCAAATGGCCCGTGTGAATCTTGACACGCTGGCCAACCATGATCTTGCGCCACCTACTTTCACCCAGCAATGGAAACGAGGGGGAAGCCAACCCAACCATCTGGACTTTTTGATGGGTTCCACATTTGGAGAACCAGAATCGAAGGACTTTTCGAATATTGCTCCGGAGCCAAGGGCACGGAGCAAGAGCTGGACGAGATGCGCCACAACTTTGCAGTGATGAAGAAGGACATGGGGCAGAAGGCCCGGCAAAGCTTCGAAGCGGTGAAGCAAAATTCGAAGCCCGAAAAGCCCGATACTTCCCTTTAAAGGGCTGCTCTAATTATAAAGTATTACCTTTTAGTGGCAACCAGGCTCCGTTTATAGGGAGTGTCCTTGAAATGTTGGCGATGTTTAAGAGATGTAGGGCATGGGGAGCCCGAGGGGTTGAGAACGGACTTCCACCATGGTCAGAAGTAGGCCTATCCTTCCTGCTCGGGTATCCAGGAAATTGTGCCATCCAGTTTCAGCCTGGGGATGGCCATCAACCCTTTAGACTGTCAGGGATCCTTTGAAATGAACCATGACCGTAGCCCACAGAGGTTTTGTCAATAAAATGACCTTGGGTCAACCCTATGGTTGCCAGTTTAAAAAAGTGCAATTCTTCAGGGTCCCCTGCTTTGAGAAGCACCCTTTGGGGCTGGCTCACTTACTTGGATGTGGATGCAGGGCTGGATGGTTGAGGTGGGTTAAACCTCCAAGCATTGAGCATTGCGTGGAACGCATGTGCGCATATGTGAACCCCTAGCCATTTTCGGCCGCAAAGTGGCGGGCATGGACATAGAAATGGACAAGCTAGGCCCCCCCCCAATAGAGAGTGATGCCCAATCGTCAAATTCAATCACGATTGACATTGGAGTTGCTTGCGGCCGGCCGCCATTTTCCACGAATGGGAAATAGCCTCGCCTCCGGCTCCAGATCTCCTGGAGGGTGCGTGGGTTGTTCTCAAGAAAACCGAAAGGACTGCTGACCATCTTTGGGTGTCCGATTTTTCGCACGTACAAATTTTGCAACTGATGGGAATCTCAAGCCAGGTGCAGCAGCTGAAGGATCAGATCATGCAGCTGGAGCAGAGCATCAATCAGGCCTGGGTGCTGCTGAGTGCCGGGCGCCCCTTCCGCATCCGTCCCTGTTTCAATAGGCTGTCGGTCATCTCGTTTGGAGGCATCCCAACATGGGGCCCTGTCCTTTGGTGTCTCCAAACCCTCTACAGACTCTAGCGAAGGGAAGCCAAATTCAAATTGCAAGTCACGGCCGCGCGTTTGGGGCATTTGGGAAACGGGAAGAAGCTGATTCGCCCCAGCGGCTCAGCATTGCCTCTTTGGAAGTGTTTATGTGTAAAAATGTGTATATATATCATGGTTTGCAACAGTTGATCCAAGTTTCCTTTGTGGGGTGATGTTGAAAGCTTGGGTGCTATGTGGTCGGATCTTGAATATATAGTTATGTCTCGTTGGGACATTGTGTGCCCTCGCACCAACAAAAAGTTAAGTGTTTTGAATATCGACTACTTGGTCACGTTTGGGACCACTAAAGACCGCAGGTTGAACCTGTTAACCTTGACCAAGATTCTGGTCCCCGATTTTCGCCTACGCAAAGGAAACCGCCAGGACAACTTTGTGTGGCTCCACATCCATTTCGGCCAGATATCCAAGTTTTTTACATCTGCCACTTTCCTCTCTTTGCAGCCAGATTTCCAGCCCAGATGTGCGGCTTCGTGCAGGAGAAGCGGCGGGGGGAGGAGCTCAGGCAAAGCTATGCGGAGAAGGCCAGCACAGCAGCGCAGGACGGGCGGCTGAAGCGCCGGTTTCAGGCTTTGAGCGGCTGAATGTTCTAGCGGTGGCTTCCTTATTCTTTCCATGAGTCTTTCGTTGGAGGGAAACCACAACAAAAGACAAGGAACGCAGCTGGGTTTTCGCCAGAAATGAGGAATCAATCCCTCGAAATGTTCTTGGACAAATTCTATCGAGCTCACTTGGGGATAGAGCAAGCGTATTATCTCATGATTGTCATTTTTGTGTGGATGTCTTGCGTCAGGTTTGTGAATTGTAGCGTGCCTCGCCGGGGTTTCATGAGGGTCTCTTTCGGGTTCTCTAATTCCAAGTTGGTGAATTGTTACGACTCACCCAGAGATGAGAGCCTCCTGGTTCACGGCTCAGTGAGCCCATATCCTTGTATGCGGAAATCAGCAACTGTCAGTCCCACTGGCCAACGGGGCCCACAACTGGGTATGGGTCAAAATAGGGATGTGAGCCCCCAAAATGATTGGTTTCCTGCTGGTCCCCCTTGAAACCAACCCCAAAACGGGCACCCTCAAAAACACACCCAAATGAGCATAAACATTCAGGCTAAAGGTGGCTCTGTTGACCTGACGCCTGGGCCGACACAGAGTTGCCCGATGCACGAGGACAAGAGGCTGTCAAGCCTGGCAGAGAAGGCTGGAGGTTTTGTTTGGCACAGAGTTCTAAGGGACTGCAGCTGATTGCTTGTTTGTTTCGCTTTCTTCTTTTCTGTTGTTCCCCGTTTTGTGCTGCTCTATTTATTTGCTCATGCTTACGTATTTATGATTATAACTAGCGTGGTGCTTCCCTCTTTGAGGGAAGTGAGTAACTTTTTTTTAGTTTGGATTTGCTTTCTTGTGTCGAATTATGTGCTGTAGATTTTATGGCTTCGTTGGTCGATTGATCGGCCGGTTCGTCGGTCGGTCACTCTGGTCGGCCGTTGGCTGGTTGGTTGGTTTATGTGTTAGTGTGTTAGCGTGTGTTAGCATGTGTTAGCGTGTGTTAGCGTGTGTTAGCGTGTGTTAGCGTGTGTGTGTGTGTGTGGCTTTGTTTGCTGTGGTTTTGCGATCCTCTGGTTTGTGTAGTTCGTGTGGTTCGCTGTGGTTTCGTTGATTGCTTGCTTCTGTGTTTGCTTGTTTGTGTTTGTTGTGTGTGTGTGTGTTTTATTTTGCGTGGTTGGTTGTTTTCATTGTGTGCCTGCTTGATCGCGCATGCTTGCTGACTTGCTCGCTCACGTTGTTTTGTTTCTGCTTTGCTTGGTTTGCTGGCAGGCAAGCAGGCTGGTTGACTGGCTTGCTTGTATGCATGCCTGTGTGTTGCTTGCAAGCAATATCACAAGCCGACTAATATAGACAAGCGCAAGCAAGCAGGCCTTCAAGTGAGCGAGCAAGCAACCAAACACGCAGGCACACACACACATGCACTTACACCCACCGCAAATTAAAAAGAAAAAAAGCCAGCCAAAGCAAGCAAGCAACGCAAAGCAGCGAAGAGCAAACCAAAGCAAGGCAAAGCAAGCCAAGCCAGCCAGCCAGCAAGCAAGCAAGAAAGCAAAACACGCAGCAAGCAAGCGAGCGAGCCTGCGAGAAACACAAGCCATCATGCAAGAATGCATGGACCCAGACAAACGTAAGTAGGCAGGCAGGCAAGCAAGCAAACAACAAGCAACCTGCAAGTAAGCAAGCGAGCGAGCGAGGTCAGAAGATCTCCGCCTTACACTATGCGATTTCTCATCAAGGGGGGCAGCACGATTTTTGACACTAGGGATTTCCTCACTCCCTGAGTTGCAATTGTGCCTTGTTTCCCTTTGCAAAATGGCAGCCAAAACGAGGGTTGCCCCAAGAAAAGACAAGAGGAAATCCACTTGTGAGGTTCTGGAGTTGTTATAAACTGCTGGGCCTGGGCCAAGTGGCAAACAAAAAGGCTCCAAGTTGTTTTTAGGGGCAAATCCACGTCGGAAGTGTCAACTTGGCCTGCAGGTCTTGGAAGTGTACGCTCGCTGCGACCTGGCCCGGGATCAGCAGCAGCCGGACACGCTGCAGATGCTGGGGGCCATCGAGTCCAGGCGGGGTGTGATGGGTGTGGTGGCCGTGATGCAATCATTGCCAAATGGTCCAAACCTGAAGAGTTTGTCTATATAGAGATGAACAGTGGATGGAACGCCAGGGTAATGGAGAAAACGTGCGCCAGAGAATGGTCGCCCCCTTTCAGCGGAGTCCGTTTTTGATGGCGGGTCTTTGGTGTGACCTTTGCCGCTTAGGCCTTTTGGAAGGTCTCTTCCATTCTACAAATGGTTAGACCTTTTGCGCAGGGCGGAGGGGAGCAACCCAGTTTATCGGCGGTACAGACTTGGAAGGCCAATTCCGACTACCCAGGATTGAGGAGCTGATCCAAGGTCTGGACGAGGCTTACCAGCAGGACCATCTGAGAAGTTATGCCCACGTTGCTAAGCATCGCGCAAAGCATCTTTCGGGCCATGAGCCGTCAGGAGCCTTCGGAGCCCTCGTTTCTTTTCTTGCAACGGCCATAGAAGTATCTCCGACCTTCTCAATGCACGAAACCAGGGGGGAAGAGAAAGAGGGAATGGGGGAGTGCCCCCCCTCACACCATGGTTGTGTTTGATGGATGGGCTCCGAGAGTGCGGTTGATCCATGGCACAATCGGACATGATCGATTCCTCGTCCAGCGGTTTGCTGTTAAAGCGCTGGGAGGACCAGGACATGGTGATAGGCCTGGAATGGAAGAAAGAAAGGGATCGAAGAGAAAGGGCGCGTGTCTCAGTAGTTTATCCCCGGCGCACTCAAAAAGCAGCCTTTCTACGTGGAAGTTCTCTCGAGGTCCGCGAGAACAGGCTCAGGGAGCAGTCTGAAAAGCAGGAGGATCGACTGAAGCAGTCGCTGCAACGCTCGCAGAAGCCTGTTTTCAAGAAGGCTTTGGCCTCAGTCAGGCTTCTCTGGCCAAGCCTCTTCGCCGCATGCCGCCTCAGGCCGGAAAGCAGGTCATGTATCGATCACCTCCTTTGCGCCAAGAGCGCAAAGTGGTAGAGGATACAACTGATGATGAAGCACATGCTGCCGACCACAAGGCGGTGGGTTGACTCGTTGCTGTTGTTTTTCTCCGTGTTTTGCAGTGGCACGTGATTTTCCGTTTTGTCCGGTGCGCTCTGTTCCATTTTGCCCCATATTCGCAGCAACTGAGTTGATACCTGTTTGGCCCCCCAAGTTTGACACGTTCAGGTTTGGAGCTGGCAGCTTCATGGTTTACAAATCAGCTTGCCTTGTTCTATTTAGTTGGATGTTAAATCTTCGACGTTTTGGGGAACGCTACTTTTTGTTCAAAGGCCAATCGCCGCCAAAGTTTTGAAGTGAGGTTCCTTCCAGTTGGGATGATGCGATCTCGGGAGGCCGTCGAAATTCCGCCCGCAGGTCTTCGATATTTACATCGACCGAAAGACAGGGGTGCCGCACACTGAGATGCCTGTTGAAGAGACCAGGCAGGGAGGAGATGCGGGGCGGATCTCAGTCTTTGAGCGGCGCTTGATGCATTGGAATGTTGTTTTGTGTTTAGCTTGTTTGTGTGTTTGTTTTTTGTGTTTTTGTTTTTTTTTGGGGGGGGTGGGGGTGACTTGGGCTTGTCAAACGTGTGTCAAATCACTTTGCAGTTTGGTTGGATCACCCTTGTGGTTGGTGGAAAATCGGGATTTGGACATCTTTGGTCCCCCAGAATAGCATTGGGCTGTCGTTTTGGTTTCCCTTTGAACACCTATATGCCACTGCCACCGCCCATGTCTGCAATCTTCTGCAAGGGAATCAAGCCCTTGGGGGCAGCGGGTTCTGAATTGAGTCGAATCTGCCAGGCCCGGGCGTGGCCCTCTCAGGCGCCGTGAGTGGCCCAGGTTCATGAGTGGGGACCTCCCTCCCTCTAACCTTTGCGGGTAGGAAGGGGAGAAGCCGGCAAAATAAGCCGAACCACAAGCAAGGTCATCCTCATTTGGGCATGTGTCAAAATCTGTAAGCAATCGGGATTTGGACCCCAGCATGATGGATTTTCCTTTGGTTTCCCTTCGAACCAGCCTGAAAAGGGCTCCCTCAACAAAACACACCCACTTGTTGTTTTGTTTTGACACGTTCCGAACGCGGTTGGGGGCCAACAGAGGCAGAGTGATTCGGAGCTTGCGTGCCAGTCCCAAGTCGAATGCCACTGCGAGAGAGAGCAGCTGATGCAGGCGGTCGGGGAGAGGATGGGGTGTGGCTGGCTTCGTAACCCGGAAATGGGTCGGCATAGCGACCCTTTCCTTTACGTGCCCGCTTTGTGGGCACAAGGGCAACCATGTATGGAGGCGCTTTTCCAGCCGGAGGATGTTTGGTAGACAGGCGTTGCAGGGTCCATTTGTTGCTGCTGAGGAGTTCCCATGACCAGATGTTGCGAATGTGCTTCCAAACCACGGAAATGGCAACCGAACCGTGGAGGATGTTGCTGTAGCCAGCCAGCGTTATTCCTGTTTGTTAACTTCGGATCTATTTGGCAGACACTCATCCGAGGAATCCCCACGCATACTCTGTCCACTTGGATGATCCGGATGAATCCGAGGATTCCTGCTCCTTGCTGAATACGCAATGTTTAAACATATGGGGTTGTCTTCTTTGCAGGTACCTGTTGGGTGGTTTAGCGGGAACCAAAAGGAAAGCCACGCATTTGGAAGGATCCATGTTGAGACAATCCCATATTCGACCGAGCCCGCTAGCGGTGTCAGATGCAGCCTATCAGGACGTCTTGGTGGAAATGTCGGTGTCCGCTTTCAAACCCATAAGAATGGGGTGTAACCTTTTTTGTGAGACAACCCTTTTTCAGGCAACCTGTTTGGTGAGAAACCCTGCCTGTCAAAGTGTTCGATACTCACGAGGCAGGTTATTTGCTGGCGACCCGTTGGGGAACTATTTTTCTGAGAGGCTATGACCCCTAAACTTACCCCCCCCCCCCCTCCCTCAGGAAAAAACACACTCGCACACACAGACGAATCAAAACACTAACAAAAGATGACAACGCCACAATGCTCCTTCTGCTTCATCATGTTGATTTACGTCCCTTTTGGATGTGGTGTTGCATTTTAAAAATGTAAAAGCTTGAAAGGGGGAGCTAAGTGACCACCACTGCTGGAAGCCAACCTTTGAACAAGCTGAGCTGTCTGGTTTGGTTCACAGTTTGTCTATTAGAAGGGCTCAAAATTCTAAGAGCCCGTTGGCGGGTTAGGGGGGCCTAATGACCATCTCTTTGGTCAAGGTTCCAAAAGGTTGATCCTTTGAACAGGAGAGTAGGGCACCCCTTGCCGCGCCAAGAGATGCCTTGTGAAGAGTTCGCCCCATCCGTGAGCGTCATATTCATGGGGGGGGGGGAACCCACCAACAAGCATGGAAGAGCACAGTCAGCCTCGCCTAGAGGAAAGACATAGTCTTCCAAACGCGATTTGTACGCTTCCATTTGTATGAGGGGCCACCCCTTTTTGATGGCCCGAATGTCCACGGTGGATTCGCAATCAAGACGCCAGCTCCCGGAAAATATCCTGCGAGACCCAAAGCCCAACAAGGGATGTTCCCTGGAGCTTCCCTGGAATCTGTCAAAGTCCTGAGATGCTTTTTGGGAACACTGCGCCAGGAAGTGGAGTTTCACAATGTCTCCTATGTCTCACCAGGACTTGAGGTTTCACCGTCGCACAACTCGACGACTGCGGAAACTGCAGGCCGCTGGCGCACTTGAGTTGACTGGGCGAAGGATGGCCTTTGGCCTGCCCAGACTCTGCCTCATTCCATCCCCAAAAGGGCCAAAGGAACTGGAAGTCCCTATGCTTGTCAGGAGGTCAGTATTTTGACGGCTTTCTGGGGCGCGTTTGCCTCGCACATCCTACCACTTGCGGCTTTGCAACCGGTAAAATAGCGGGGCCAGCTAATGAGATCGCAGGCCTGCAGCCTTGTTCTCAAAAAGGTCCTGTTCGCTTCGGGATGCTGGTCGTGTTTACCTTCTTCGCCCTCCTGTGCCGATGCGCCTCGCTGCTTGCCCGCATCACTTTGCGCATGGGGGCGAGAACGAGACTTCAGTCACAAGAACCGGGAGGACTTAGTTCTTAGCGTTCTTCTGTTCATTACAGGCAACATATTTTGACCATGGCAAAAACTACAAGTCGATGCCGGTGAAGTCCGTGGCAACTGTGGCAACAGGGCGTCAACTCAAGAGGTGGCTTCATGAGGTTTGCTTTGCCTGTGAGGCAAAGCCCCTTTGGTCGCAGAGCGCAAGGCGCAGGCTGGTTGCGTGGTTGAGTGCATCATGTTGCACCCTGGCACATGTTTGTGGCGCAGCAATGCGCGGCAGGCGTTGGCTGGAACAGCCAAATGGACTTCGCATCCGGCTTCAGGTCGGGGCTGTCCGAGGGACACTTAGAAGTGTACTCGGCGGGCGTCCATTCGTTCGCAATACAGGGGGCAAAAAGGCGAACCCCTGTCCAGAGTGTGCAAGTCAAGCCTGGATCGGCCTTCGCGAAAATGAGAGTGACTAAGGAAAACAAAAGAAACCACCCGATGCAGACAAGCCCAGTCTGTATTGCTTTTCAGGAAATCAGTTGGAATCAGCTGATGCCCCGCCCATTTTGGCCCCGCCCCCCCCCCCATCCTCACACCGCCAGGCCAAACTATGTGCCAGAGCCCCGCGCGCGGCCCAGATGGCCTGATTTGATCAACAGGCTCCCCTCAAATTCAGGTGAAACGCAAAAAAAAAAACGGTCTGGTGGAAAGGTCCGCAAGTTGATTTCCTTGTGACGGATCTCGAAGCTGAAAATATAGGGAACTCTGTCGGGGTGATCCTGTTCGATTCTTACACATCAGTTTCTTCAGCAACCGCAATTTGTCCAGGGGTCTTGCCTGTGGTTTTCAGGCTTGAACGTGGTTGGGCCACACCCAGGGGTGCCCTTTGAACCGGCAAGCTTTGCTGAAAATAGGCTCCTTTGAAGTCAGATTGGTCGCGCCATCATTTGACAATGAGATCCTATTGAGGTTGTCCTCTGATTCCCCACTTTAAACCATCTTATTTTGCTTTGGACACGTTCACTTGGTAATTGGTAGGGACGCTTCCTTGTTTTGCGAGGATTGAAGCCAGCCGTTTGGTTTCGCCTGACTTGAGGCCAGTGGGAGCATCGCCCCTGGCACCAGCACATGGTGCAGCCTTCGGAGCCCCATCCCATGGCCGGCTTCCAAGCGCCAGCGCCAGCCCCCGCCTGGCCGCATGGCGCAGGTCAAGGTGAGCCTGGTGGCTACCAGCCTTGGTGGGTTTGCTCGTCGAAGTTGTTTTTTGTTTGTGTCCCTTGCGGGGAAGTCTTAAATGGAACTGGGGGACGTAGGTCCATGAGCGATTGGAGTTCTATGAGTTCTCAACGTTCGGTGTGAGAGCTTTGTCAAAGTGTGCCGGGGAGCTCGGTGGAAGATTTCGGAACTTGGACATCAAGCCCATGGCTTGGATGTTCAACCATGTCCGGCAAGTAGGTTCCAACCTATGAGGGAACTCATTCCGCTTACCCCAGTTACTCTCCAGTGTCTCGACTTCATACTTTCTAGGACGACCATGTTAGTGTAAACAGAAAGTCCGAACGTTTTTGGGGCCACCCCGCTGAGGAAGTAAGATATGTGCCCGTCATGTCATGAACCGAGCTTGGTCAGCCAGGGGCAGCCGGAGCGCGGGTGGAGGCAGACTGGCGGCATGTTTGGGGCAAGTGGTACCCCATATGCATCTGACCGTTGTGTCAAAGCAGACGGCACAATTCCATCATTTTGGTTGAGTCATTGCTTTTACCTGCGCAGGATTTGTTGTGCCATCTACTTCCAGCCTGGTGCAGCCCCCCAACTCACGTCACAACTTGATATCCACAGAGGGGGGGGTTCGTGCCGCCCATCTTGCCCCGGCCTCGACAATCAACATAGGAGTCTCAAAGCATGCACACCCGGACTGGGCCAGCAAAACAAAAAAGCGCTCCCAGTCAAGCTTGTTTGCAAGCTTGGCTCGAACACCAAATTGCCATGGACCACTCTAAAGGGATGCCTAAATGATTGACGGTGTCTTGCCGCGAAGAAATAAACATGTGGCTGGCCTAGAAGCGCTGCCCCACTCCGAATCTTGTATGACCCGCCTCTTCCGCCCAGTGGCCAAAGCCGGTCCCGGAGCAACCCGGGATGCCACTTGCAGAGCTGGCATGCTTGTAGCATGGCAGGGGGAGAGGGAGAGAGAGAGAGAGAGAAAAAAAAAAAAGGGAAAAAAAAAAGGAATCAACAGCAGGAAGGAAGGAAGGAAGGAAGGAAGGAAGGAAGGAAGGAAGGAAGGAAGGAAGGAAGGAAGGAAGGAAGGAAGGAAGGAAGGAAAGGAAGGCAGGAAGGAAGGCAGGAAGGCAGGAAGGCAGGAAGGCAGGAAGGCAGGAAGGCAGGAAGGCAGGAAGGCAGGAAGGCAGGAAGGAAGCAGGAAGGCAGGAAGGCAGGAAGGCAGAAGGCAGGAAGGCAGGAAGGCAGGAAGGCAGGAAGGCAGGAAGGCAGGCAGGCAGGCAGGCAGGCAGGCAGGCAGGAAAGGAAGGCAGGAAGGCAGGAAGGCAGGAAGGCAGGAAGGGAAGGCAGGAAGGCAGGAAGGCAGGAAGGCAGGAAGGCAGGAAGCAGGAAGGCAGGAAGGCAGGAAGGCAGGAAGGCAGGAAGGCAGGAAGGCAAGGCAGGAAGGCAGGAAGGCAGGCAGGCAGGCAGGCAAGGCAGGCAGGAAGGAAGGAAGGAAGGAAGGAAGGAAGGAAGGAAGGAAGGAAGGAAGGCAGGAAGGAAGGAAGGAAGGAAGGAAGGAAGGCAGGCAGGCAGGCAGGCAGGCAGGCAGGCAGGCAGGAAGGAAGGAAGGAAGGAAGGAAGGCAGGAAGGCAGGAAGGCAGGAAGGCAGGCAGGCAGGCAGGCAGGAAGGAAGGAAGGAAGGAAGGAAGGAAGGCAGGCAGGCAGGCAGAAGGAAGGAAGGCAGGCAGGCAGGCAGGCAGGCAGTCAGGCAGGGAAGGAAGGAAGGAAGGAAGGAAGGCAGGAAGGCAGGAAGGCAGGAAGGCAGGAAGGCAGGAAGGCAGGAAGGCAGGAAGGCAGGAAGGCAGGAAGGCAGGAAGGCCGGCAGGCCGGCAGGCAGGCAGGCAGGCAGGCAGGCAGGAAGGAAGGAAGGAAGGAAGGAAGGAAGGAAGGCAGGCAGGCAGGAAGGAAGGAAGGAGGGAAGGAAGGAAGGAAGGAAGGAAGACGGAGGGGAGGCAGCAAGCACCATGACAGAAGCACGGAAGGCGTCACTCGTTCATGAGTCTTCGTAGCGATTTCAGCTTTCCTGGTTGAATTATTCAATAGCCGAACGGAGACGCCAATATCTGAGCCCATGGCCACTCAAGTCGGCTGGCTTCCCGCAACCCTCTTAACCTAGGCTTTCATACCAAGCAGTCAGTCCCTTTACATGTATGATGGCACATGGCAACCGATCTGATTTGTTGCAAAAACGGGCTCATATAATTATGGGGTTGCCAAAGATATGTGACCCCCCTACAAGATGGGTGGTATCCCTTTGGTTTGTCGTCGACTTCAATCGGCCCCCAAAAAAGGGAAGCCTCGAAAAAGACAGCCTTTGCGTGGGATTGTGGCGATCAGCTGAGAGCGTCCATCGCGCCAGGGGACGGCTGGACACCAGGCTCATCGGTATGGGGAGCCATTGGTGTGAAGTAGGAAATGCTTCACAGAAGGTTGGATTGCAAAGCCAAAGCCACGCCAAGATTTAACATGCATCTAAAAATTGTGGGCTCCTTTGGTGCATGTTTTCTCTCCACTGGCCACATTTCAGGGAGTCCTTTGTCATAGCCAGACGTGCGCGTTCAGCACAGGAAAGGGATCACCCAGCGCAGGGCAGCAGTGTGACCTGGGCAGTTTGGCAGCAGAAACGGGTGGGCAGTGGACCATGCGCAAAGGCAAGCCGAGGAAAGCCGAATGAGACACGCATCATTTTTCCGGGGGCGGCAAAAAGACAAGACCCTTGCTCGGTCCGAAACACTCTTTTTTTTTCGCTGAAAGTTATTGACTGGCGAGATGTTTCTGGAATTTGCCTGATACGGCATCCCCAAACATATATGCGTATGCCATACTTTCCACTGTCTTTTGGTGAAGGTTTTTGCAGACAAATTCTGGTGACCTGATCTATCAGGGGCTCATGCGCCCCCACCCATCAGATGCAGTGCATGACAGATTTTTTCAGGTAACACCAAGGGTTCATTCAAATCGCCAAACCACCAATCCAAACCACCAATTAGAGGGAAACCGATTTTCATGGTTTGCTTCTGCTTTGGCCATTTTGCAGGTGGCCCTGCCACTTGGATTAACAAGTGCTGTACCACACGGGCTTGACACCCCAAGGTTGCTACTGCAATTGCGGTGGGCGGTGCCCTGGCCCTTGGCTTCAACCAGTGGGAAGGCGGGATGGTGCAACAGTCCCGAAAGAATTGCTTCTACGTGGGAATCGTTTCATTGTTGTTTCAGCCGCAGGAGGTCTGAAGGTAATCTATGGCAAATTGTGGAGCCCAACTTGATGCTGCTTTTTTGGGGGGAATCGTGTCACGACATGACAATGACTTGTCTCAAAAGGCCGCACTTGTGGCATGCTACATGGAAACCAAGAAGAAACCGCTTATTCTTCGAGCTTTCTCAGGAAGAGCCGTCATAAAACTAATCATTTGGAGGAGTGTTACCTTCTTTCTGCGATCGAACCGACTACCTACCTGCAAGCCGGCAGCCACTGAGAGGAGGGCCGTCTATGGGCGTAGGAACGCCTCTTGTTTGACCTTGTTTGCTTTTTGTTGTACTCACATGCGCATGCACAAGCACCAACACGAGGACACCGGCTTACACAAAAGAACAAAAACAAACTTGGTTCCCAGGCCAGTATAGGAGCCCAGGATAGAAATGATTTCCGATCTCAAGGAAATGATGTCACAGAAAAAGCATGATTTTGAGCAAGCTTCCTGTGCGCAGACTGCTCAAGGCTATGCTTTCTTTCGTCCTCCGTACTGAAAGTTGTGCAGGTCGTTTGGGCGTAAAAACGCCTCGTTAGTGGCAACAACACGTGCAAAACACACCACGGTGAAAGGAGTTTCACAAATTGCACTCCGGGGTCGCAGCGCATGAACCCATACGCTGGCAAGGGGAATCCTTCCTCCCTGGCCCACCTTGTGTGTGAAGAGAACTTATGTTTTGGCGCCATACGCAAACACACACCAAGGCGTGCGCATGTGTCGCTTTCGAATGAGTGCCAGGCCGCGTGCTGGACACGGCAAAGCAACTATGGGCCCACGCTTTGGCCTTGCACGAGGCGAGGGGGGCTTCGCGCAACCTCCAGCTTCACCCCATGGGCTGGGTGTGCCCGAGGAGCATCCCAAGCATCAGTCAAGAAATTCTTTCCGCGGCCTGGGATCTGGGCACGCTCCCTAAGACCCCACCATAGCGTGTGTTGTCGGGGAGAAGTTGCTTTCGCCCCAAACAGACTCAAAATTGGTGGTTATAAAAAATGACCCGAAAAGGGACACCAAAAAAGACACCCCGGAATGTATCCGCGTTCTGGGGCTCTATTGCGGGGTGCTTGGCAAATGATCGGCGGAAGCTGCGCTGCAGGCTTTCAGCGCAAACAAGCCGGAGAATCGCGCCGAGTTAAACAGGCGGAGCTATGGCTGCGCGACGAAGTGGAAGAATGTGCGATCTTGTGATTTTGGGTTTTGAGGGTGACCTTTTCAGGTTGGCTTACTGAAAGGGATGCCAAAAAGGAGCACCGGGACTCCCTGTGCATCACCTTGGCCCCCCTGGCCGCTAATATTTGTGTTGTCAGGGGGGCCATGACTCAAGAGGCAATCCCATCGGGAGAGAATTGTGAAACACACCGTGGCATGCTGTAGGTTTTCCAGCTTGAGTACGGCATTTACCAAGCACATGGAATGTCACTGTTGTGCATGTTTTGCGTGAGTATGGGCCGCCACCCCCTTTTCTTCTTGGTTCTCAAACTATCGGATCCTCACACAAAGCATCAGAGAGCCCTATATGTCTCCAAAAAATGATTTGTTCTGCTAACGTATGTCCCAACTCAACTGGATTGAGGATTTGGATGTGCAAACCATACAATTTGAGCAACCGAGTCGGGGTTTTTCCTCTTTTGGACCTGTGGGAATTTCGTGAATGTGGCTATACCTCTTAAAGGACTTTAAAGTTCCCAACTGGGGAGAGAGCTAAGAATACCAGTGTGAAGAGTTCTTCCTTATCCCGTTCTAAATCCCCAGGAGATGTGACTTGCCTTCCATTGCCTGAATCTCTAAATCAACTGCCCAGCATTGCCGCTGATGACGCAAAAGGGCAAACAAGTTGTTAGTGTAGACACCCAAGGAACCCTTAAGGAACCTTGAAGCCCGAAGTTCAATCACCTCGGAGGAATAGGATCATTGAGGTTTTCTGCTTTCTTGGACCCTACCGCCTTTCAAAGGCACCTTCTGCGAGTGCGGGGCGATCTCCGCCAGTCGCCAGGCCTAGCGTAGAGTTGGTGAAGATGGAAGCGCCTGCGCCGGTGAAGCCAGAACAGGTTGCAGAGGCGACTCTGGTTGGGAGAGCCCGCTGCTTTGCCTTAATTATCCAAAACCATTCTAGGTAGGCTGGGTCCGGGAAGGTTCATTTTTCTGGGTCTTTCTTAGAGAGCCGTCAAAAAAGGTGGGAGGCAAACCCGAAGGCATGGCAGCAGATTGCTGGGTTGGCCGGCCACTTTCTGTGAATACCAAAGGGATGCCCTGAAAATGCGATAAGCTAGCCATGGGGAACCATGGATTGGAATCGAACCACATGGCATGCAGTTTTTGCTGCTAATGGGTCATCGGAGATGATGGGGGAACCCACGGGTGGAACCCAACTCATCAAAGCCAACTTTCCCGCTTTTTAGGCCCTTTTGAGAATTCCCTTTGATTCTTTTGGGTCTGCAAAAAGTCCCAACCTGATATGGACCTTGGCACTGATGGCTGCTTGTTTCTGCCTGAAGTCTCGAGGGCCCGGAAGAGGTGGCCTGCGAAGAAAAGCGCCAGGCGAGCGACGCTGGGCACGGAAGAAGCTATGTTTGCCGTTGTCAAAACACCCCTTTGCTGGGGAGCACGTGGGGTGGTCATGGCTGGCTATGTGTTTTTACGGGGGGTGGTCCCCACGCAAATGATGTTCACCAAGAGATCCCCAATAAAAAGGTCAGGGATTACGATTGCGACCCTCAGCCTGAGAATGCACTACCATGACCCACAGGAGGGTTGACCGTGGCGCGTAGGGGTGTGTCTTGTGTCGAGGCTTTGTACTTGGTTTAGGTTTGTCTCTTCGGGAGCAGAAAATAAAGCCGCCCCTTTGGCCACCCAGGAAAAAGACGAGGACGAAGTGGAGATGGACATGTGGGATCCTCCCCAGCGGCTTGGCTTCGAGTCGGTTCGGCTCGGCTGGGAGATGTAGAGTTTCCTCCTATCGGTGTCATAGTGCCTTACTTGCATGAAATTGCACTGTCAAAGAAACGCTTTCCACTTTCCACAAATTTCCTCCCTCTAAGTAGTGTATGGAAGGGGCGCGCTGCTATTTCAGTTTAGATATGTTATCGACGCCACGTTCGGTTCGGTTCGCAATGAAGCGGAGGGAACCCTGGCGTTGTTGCCAGTGGGACAGTCTTGCGGAATCAAGTTGCCCGCCAGTTTGGCAACATTGTGCTGACCAGCTCACAACTGCCAACCCTGTGAGACAAAAATGATGCATGCTTGAGTAAATGCACTATTGCGCTTCTGAAGTCATTCATATATTCATTGGCTCATGTGTGTGTGTGTGTGTGTGGGTGTCTGTTTTTGTCTGTGTTGTTTCGTTTATTCTAAGACTACAGTGACTACCCCCAAACCACTACCCCCAGAAGCCAATGGCAGGGCATATAAAGGTTAGGAAAGGGTTATATAAGGGTTATACGAGGGCGCCTCAATTTGTGCATATTTGGCTGCTGCAGAAACCAGGTAATTCTGGAGCGGCGGCATGTGTTTCATCCGGGTTCGCTGCTATCAGTTTGACGTTGAAACTTGTGAACATCAACGCTTGGTTTGCACCGGTATCTTTGTTTAAGGTGAACATCAAAGCCTTGCTTTCTTGGCAGCCAGTTTGGTTTGCTGCTTTGATCATGTCGCGTTGGAGGGACCGCCGCATCCCCGGTTTTGGGGGTAGTGAGTCCCAAAACGCGCGGTTTGGCGGTAGTGGATTTGACTGGGCGATTTGGGGGTAGTCACACGTCACCTGGTATGCGCGTGCAAAAGATGAATCACACCACTACCCCCAGTTTGGGGGTACTTGCAGGCGGTAGCGCGCGGATAGTGCGGGAGTTCCGGAGTCGGTGTGGGTGGCAACAGCCCCAAAATTGCTTTTCGAATACCGGGACAATCGACCGCGAAAGTTCACCACTTTTAGCCACGAGGTAGACGGGACCCAGGCTAAGCAATTCTGAAGAAGTGCTGGTAGGGACTCACCATTCTAGGGGCCACGCAGCTGCAGGCAAATAATTTCAAACATCAAGCAGTTTGAAGGGTCCGCTGGAGCACAACATGTGGGCTTTTGGGGGTAGTGTTTTGGGGGTAGTGAGTTTGGTCTTAGATTTATGTTATTAATTTATGTTTTTGTGTTTCTGTGCTGTTGAGCTATTGGTGTATATTGTTCTCTATGTTGGGCAGGGGGATCGTGGCACAATTTTGCGCCGAGTTGTTCTGCGCTAATTTGGAAGAATGCATCGTGCCCCATCGGACGACAGGTTATGACTCTTGGCGTCGGTAGCACATGCTGGCGCGTTCAGGGTGCGTTGAACCCCGGCTGGGCTCTGTAGCATGGGCAGGGGATGCAGGGGCCACAGCTGGCTCGCGTGAATGCAAACTCTCGCATCACTTGCGATGCGGTGGCCGTCTAACCCAAAGAGCTGAGCGAGAAGCACGACAGAGACGATGCTTACCCTGTTTCCGTCGTATTTTTAGAGTTTTAAGCAAGTGAGCGTCGTTCACAGGTGGGTAACGTTTAAAGGGGATATCGGGCAGCGTGTGGCCATGCACTGGGGACATAGGTTTCGCCAAGCGCAAAGTCAACAGCTCCTCGCTTTGTGTTGCTTACTTAGGCTTCCTCCGGACCGGAGCTCAGACGTGGCAGGGCTGCTTCTTGTGCATGGCTTCCTTCACAGCGAGGCATCACAGAAGGCCGAGGTGCGCAGTTGCATTGCCATCAAAACCCTGATTATGCAGTTCTGCGCAGGCGATGGAACCTGACGGCGACGCCCCTGCGCGGGAAATTGTGGAAGCACGACAGCCAGCGGAGCCCAAGACGGAAGAGCCCAAACGCGCACATCGCCAGTGGAGGGGCCGCGGCAAGGCAAGGGCTCTTGGAGTGCGTTGGGCAGTGGCGTCAAACCCCTTTGCCGCAGGCCAATGATGCCCAGCCGCAGGGCCAGCCTGAACCGCAGAGTCAGCCTGAGCCAATAGACTGGCTCAATGACAGGGGGGAGCACAGCTTTTTGGAGCCGTCGCCGGATATGAAGCCACCATCACCGGGGTCCATGAAAAAGCTGCAGAAAGCCCGACTGGCCCAGAAGGCGCTCGAAATCGAGGCGCTGCGTGGTTTGAATGGTTTCGACGACCTGTTATTTTAGGTTGCCACGGATGGGAGCTGACCACACGATGTCATAGAAAGGGGGGCTACTTTCACCAGCAACTCTGCGGCTTCTTTGGGGATTCACTTGCAACATATTCTCCAAGCCCTCCCCCAGAAATAGACCCAGAAATAGACCAAAAAATCGCTTGAGCACGTTAGCTCAAAGAAAAGAGTTTTCGATTTTCAAAACTCAGCTTTAGGCAGTTCGCAAGAGTGAGCTGAAAATAAATGCGGTGTCTTTGATCAATACGCAGGTTTGAGCAGCTTATGGAAGTGTAGTTCAAAGTATATAACAGGTGTCCATTCGTTCATTCATTGTTTCATGCATGCATGCATGCATTCATGCATGCACGCGTGCATTCATTGATTCATTCATTTATTGATTCATTGATTCATTGATTCATTGATTGATTGATTGATTGATTCATTCATTCATTCATGCATGCATGCATGCATGCATGCATGCATTCATTCATTGTTGCACTCATTCATTCATGCACTCATTCATTCATGCATTCATTCATGCATGCATGCATGCATGCATTCATTCATTTATTCATGCGTTTGTTCCTTCCTTCATTAATTCATTCATTCATTCATTCATTCATGTCATGTCATTTCATTTCATTTCATTTCATTTCATGTCATTTCATTTCATTTCATTTCATTTCATTCATTCATGCATTCCATTTCATTCATTCATTCCATTCATTCATTCATTCATTCATTCATTCATTCATTCATTCATTCATTCATTCATTCATTCATTCATTCATTCATTCATTCATTCATTCATTCATTCATTCATTCATTCATTCATTCATTCATTCATTCATTCATTCATTCATTCATTATTCATTTCATTCATTCATTCATTTCATTCATTCATTCATTCATCATTCATTTCATTCATTCATTCCATTCATTCATTCATTCATTCATTCATTCATTCATTCATTCATTCATTCATTCATTCATTCATTCATTCATTCATTCATTCATTATTTCATTTCATTTCATTTCATTTCATTTCATTTCATTTTATTCATTCATGCATTCCATTTCATTCATTCATTCCATTTCTTTCATTCATTCATTCATTCATTCATTCATTCATTCATTCATTCATTCATTCATTCATTCATTCATTCATTCATTCATTCATTCATTCATTCATTCATTCATTCATTCATTCATTCATTCATTCATTCATTCATTCATTCATTCATTCATTCATTCATTCATTCATTCATTCATTCATTTCATTTCATTTCATTCATTCATTCATTCATTCATTCATTCATTCATTCATTCATTCATTCATTCATTCATTCATTCATTCATTCATTCATTCATTCATTCATTCATTCATTCATTCATTCATTCATTCATTCATTCATTCATTCATTCATTCATTCATTCATTCATTCATTCATTCATTCATTCATTCATTCATTCATTCATTCATTCATTCATTCATTCATTCATTCATTCATTCATTCATTCATTCATTCATTCATTCATTCATTCATTCATTCATTCATTCATTCATTCATTCATTCATTCATTCATTCATTCATTCATTCATTCATTCATTCATTCATTCATTCATTCATTCATCAAAACTCAGTTCCAGCTTGGCTGTTTGGGAGGCTGTGGTGGTTGTCTTGGGTTGGAACCTCCAATTTTTGAGGGCAAATGGGAAGCCACGGCCCAACCTTCACTCCAAGCGGCCGGGAAGCTGAGCGAACCGCCTTGTCTTGGCTTGGGAGGCTTTGGTTGAAGACTGGAGCTGGGGAGCCGGAGAGCCCAAGGTGGGAGAACCGGACTTACAGTTGAATTGCAAAATGGCTCTGAATCATATTTCTTTCTTGTACTTTCCACTGACTTCCCCTCAGGCCGCCAACGACGGCTGCATCTACTTTGCCGGCGGTCCCCCGAAGCAAAGCGAAAAAGCCGCGGCACCGAAGGCGGCGAAACGAACGTGGCGAGCCGGAGGAGCCGGAGGAGCTGGAGGCATCCACATAATTCTTGCGACATCTGGGGGTGAAACGAGCTCAGCATGACAGACGTCCCTCGACTTTGGGAAAGGTTGGAACAGTTTGACAAAATGGCAGGTGGCTACACAACCTCCCAATGGAAGTGATGGTTCCATCCAAGATTCACACCGTCCGATGGGGGCTGGTCAGTTTTTACCAGCGGAATCCACCGATTTTCCCAGACCACATGCGGGCAGGGCGGTGCTTCGCCTGCCCGCAATCCACCTTCAAGGACCTTTTGTTTTCCCCGATTCGGCAGTGTTGGCGTGCAGTAAGGCCCGAAGTAATTCATCATCGGGTTCCCTAGGAAGACAGAAATCCCCACCAAATGGCGGGAGTGGTGAATCAGGGTGTTGACCATTTGAGGGTATGGGCAAGTTGGGCATGCGGCCCTGATCGGCCTGGCTGAGGAGGTGTCCTTGAGTCACAGCCTGATTTATGGAGGGTCTCGTCATGATTATTGGTCTGTTTAACCTATAAACTAGTTCATGCCGGGGGCTCACAAAGAGCTGGCCGCTGTCCTGGTGCAGGCAGCGTGGCTTCTTCCAGGGCCATGTCAGCAGAAGAGGATGAGCTGTTGGGCTCTCAGTTTCTATCAGAGGAAGCACATAGCCCTTGCTCATACCCCATGTTTCCCCCATTGACCCGCTTTGTAATGGGCACAGACATGAACAACAAGCCTTTCGATTTTCAGGGCTATCTACCGAAAGGGTGTGTGAAACTCGCCTGTACAGACACCCTAGACAGTTCTCCTGTGGTTGATCCGGGCCGTTCTTCGTCCCATTTGCCAGTCTGCGAGGCTCGATCTGGACGTCAAGTTGGAGGAGGCGGCCCTGTTTCCCTGGTGGAAAGAATCCTCAAATGGGAATGAATAACAATATGAAAAGACCCTCAAAAGGGGCATTCAAAGGATGCTACGCGGGCTGCTTGCAATTCCTGAAATTGGCATTGGGCCTGTTGGCCTTGGCCTCCGGTTGATCAAGCTGTTCAGTTTCCAGTTCTTGGAGTTGGACTTTGCTGTGCTTTTGGAGGACGGGAAGTTCGTGCTGGCCAGACCCTTGCGTTTCCGCCCCCTGGGGTGCAATGTGCGGCTGCCAGGCACGGCCCCTGGTTTAGCCGTGCAATTGGAAGGGATAGGTCCCTTGCTTGGTGTAACCATCACGTGGCTCTTTCGGATGATTTGTGTCTCATTGTTTGGTTGCCATTTTCCACCCGACACCCGGTGGCGCTGTTTTAAACTTTTTGGGAAGGGGGTTCCCTTTACAACATCAACTTCCAAAAAGAGTGCCCCATGGAAACCACTGAGGGCTGGGTTCAAATGAGCTGCTTTTCGGACTTTGTTTTCCTGGCGGGATGTTTGAAGAAAGGCAGCCGTGATGCCTTCTTGCCTGTGGAGCACATCACTCCATGGACCGAAGCCTCCACCAACGCTGTGCGGAAAACAGTGGCAAGCCCAGATGTTGAGAATCCTGAGGCATGAGTTGCATTCTGCAATCGAGATGTGTACAATATCTACTCAGCTGTCCAGCTATACATGCATATGTACACACATTGCATATTTGTATATATATATATAGATATCACATATGTGTATGTATATATATATATATTTGCTAGCAAGGGTGCCAGCCGCCACAAACCGCATGTCTTGCAAGTCCTGGGTGGGTGGAAGCACCCATAAAGGTGCAGAGAGTGGGAGTGCCTGCGCTCAGGTTACAAAGGCCGCTGAGCAAAACAAGGGCCGCATTCGCGTGCGAGAGATTGGGGGCAACAACGTTTCCATGCTGAAGCCCAATGATGAAGCAATGAGAGGGCAGGACAGCGGGAATCAAACACATCATACTCAACGCGGGCGTAGTGAGAAGGAGAATGAGAAAGAATTGAATTGCGATTCCGGTTCGATCCGCTTTTTACAAGAGGTCCTTTGTTTTCCCACAGTCAAATGTGGTTCGAGGGCTCGATTGAGGTGACCTGAAGGTTTGCAGTGTACCTGACTGGGCCCCGCGTGTGGCGTCTGACATCTACGCTATTTGGTCGTTCTGCACGGTTGTTGGTCGATATGTTTGCATTTTCGCCTTGTTGTTTCGCATCATTTTCAGTTGCCTCTGCAACGGTTTGTTTTGCCAACCTAGCTTGGGAGTCTTTGTCAGCTTCAGCTTCGACGGGAGCTTCGGACTACGGTGGTCTACTCAGAGACCCCCCAAAAAAATTGGGTTGCCTGGAGGGAAGGCACACGCCCTTTTGAGGACTGATTTGTGGGTGGGAGCCAATGCGTTTCTATGTTTGCTGGCTGGAGAGTGGTGGCTATTGGGCTCCAATGGATCAACGGATCACTTTGCTATGGTTGCGAATCAGTCAAATTGTGGACTCTGGATTGCTTCCTTATTGGTTCCCTTTCGCTGGTTCAAAATTGAATGCACTGATTGGGTCATGGGGTTATCAAAGTCAGAAACCGAGGGTCTTTTCCCTTTAACCCACCACTTAGATGGTGATTTGGACAATGGTAAAATGATGGGGTCAGACAGGCAGAACGGTTGTGTCGAGGAGTTGGAGGCTCGGCGAAGGAAGCTGGAAGCGGGTATTGCCAAGCTGCCTGGGCCCCGATACGTAGTGCCTGACTTTGCAGTTCTTACGCACCTTCTGAGTGATATGGAACCCAACAAGGGCCCCGCAACAGGAGTTTCCACTACAAAAAAGGGGCTTCCTGGGTTTCATGTTAATTTTCAGGAGGATGGATCTACAGATTTGCGCTGGCTGGAGCCAACAGAAACAATTAAACATTTACAGCCCTGGGATTCGAGCCAGGCAAATGTAGAGCATATCCATATATGTCACAGCTTAGCATGGGTGGCCGAGTGATTTCCCCCTTGGTTGATTGTCTTTGTCCAAAGTGCACTCAAAAGCGTCATGACCAAGTCTATGTTGCTTCTTGCTTGAGGTGACGAATTCTTATAGTTTGTTTTCCACGCCGAGACGCAGGCGAGACAGCTTCAACCCGGGCAAGTGGCTGGTTGGAATGGTATCTTCTGTGCAGTCCAACGGCATCTTCGTCAGCGTGATTGATGGTCAGGACCTATGCGCTGAAGGTTCCCAGCCGGTCTTATTTTTTGTTCGTTCTTTCTCGGAAAGCTCCAACACCTTTTTGGCAGGTACCCTGCGCAAGCCTGATAGCGCTTTCTTGTTAGTTAGTTGGGGCGGGCAGGGGAATTTTCTTGGCCGATTGCTGTGCCAAGTTGGGAGTGGCCCCGCTGAAGATTGACATGACCTTTTAGCTTCTGACCCCACAAGGAGCATTTAAGTGTCCAGGTCCTTTGGGCAGGTGAGAATTTGTCGGTGGTGGGGAAAACTTCAGTGGATGTGCTTTCTTTTTGGAGGATGCGCTCATTCCGACGAAAGAGATCCCGCCCAAGCTTCTTCAAGCGGATGAGGCGCTTCCGCCTACGCGGTCTTTGGCGGCCGTGCTCGCAATGTCCGCGCTCCTGACGGAAAAAGTGCCTTCCCTATTCAGATGCAAGGTCGTCCGTTTGAGATTGCCTTGTCGAGGTAAAGGTTGTAAATAAGTTATTGAATAAGAGCCTCTTGGATTTCAAACTTGTCCCAGAAATGTGGGGCAAAAGCATCACCCTGCTCAGATGCCCATCCAAACACGTACTCAGAGGAATTCAGTGTGAGAGATAGGCTGGCACACTTCCACCAGCAGCTTCAGGAGGGGTTGCCCGTGCCGCAGAGCGGCCACGTTTCTCACTGTCCAACAGCCCTTTAGGCCTTGTACCTGTGAACTTTGACCAGTGGGTGGGCAGGTGTTGTTTTTCGTTCACCCCCGTATTTGGAGGACTTAATCCACCCCTACTGATGTGCATGATGTTGGCCATCCACAGGGAGGTTCATGGTCACTGTGTCTTCAAGTGTCCGTTGTCAATAGTTTCGGGTCTTGGCCATGAGGTGCTCACATGACAATTCACACAAGCACCTGGGGTCATCAATTGTCCCATCCATTGCGGGGCCGCTTTTGCATGCGTTGATTGTTTTTCACGGGCTTTTACAAGGGGTTCTTGTGCCGGGTCGGCTGTAGGAGTCTAAATTGCATTCCTCAGGAAACAGAGAAGGGCTTCCTTAGGCTACCTCGATGCGAAACTTGCCAACACTTCCCGATTTCCCCAAAGAAATTTGAGAAGGCGAGGGTGTGTGTGGTTTTATTGGTTCATCCAACCCCGCTGCTTAGCCCCATCCCAAATTCAGATTTTCGGTCGGGGTCACGCACAAACTTCACTGGCCACCGCAACAATGCGGAAGGCGGAGAAGAAGCCAGCGCTGGACGTTGGGCAGGCGAGACCACCCTTTCAAGTGCACCAAGGTGACAGTAGATCGCGCATTTGTGCGCGCGGGAGACTAAACCTAACTAGCATCTACTTTCACCATTAAGATCCTTCAGGCTTATGCAGGTCAATGAGGTATCATTGCTTTGTGAAGCATGCCTGCATGCCTGCACGCCTGTGTTTAATTGCCCATTGTTGGCAACCATGTCCAGTCGAGGTCCGAGGTGAACCTTGTATTTGCAGGTCTGTTGGGCAGGGGAGGATACGCTTTGGGTGGACGTGGCACAACCTCCCCATTTTGGCTTGATCCTCCAACAAAAAGTCAATTGCACCGGCTTCTTCGTACCCCTTTGTGGTCCAAAAACTGCCAACGTGCCGTCCTTTAGGCACAGGGGTTTAATTATAGGTTCGCTTGATTAAAAGCAGCTCGAGCTGGTTTAAATGTCGCGCTGGCTCAAGTGCCGTGTTTGTTTTTTAAAGATTTAGTGTCAAGATATAGAGGGACGTCCCAAAAGCCATTTCCCTTTTTGAAAGTTGAACATAATCTTTGACATGGCCAATGTCCACTCTTTTTGCTGGGCTGACAGATTTGTGGCGGGACGTATTGGAAGCCCTGCTGGGTCCCAACTGCTGGGTGCTTGGGACATTACACGGTCAGAAAAACGAAAACTATATACATATATATATATATATGTATTTATGTTTCCTCTGGCTATGCTTCACCCAGGGAAATAGGCTCTCGACATTTCATCATTCATCCCCTGAGGCCTTCCCCTGAGCCCTAGACAGGCGATGCCAACACAGTGAAACTGTTGTTTCCCACTTTTTGGATGGGAGGGTAGGGGAAACCAAAAGGAGGCCAATCATTTGAGGGATTGCTTTCGCGGTGGTGGGGGGGGGGGGACGGACGGTAGCAATTTGACTTGCACGGTGTTTGCCTTTTTGAGGGGGGCCCTCAGGATAGTGACCGTCACGGGGCTCTCCGTCACGCGGTTCTCCTAAATTGCCTTGTGCAAACGCTGACTATTCCTATGCCAGGATGTATCAAGAATATGCCAGATGGTGTCCCTTCTTGTTTTTGCTGTTGGGGACTCGCCTCATATGGACCAAGCTAGGAAACAAGACTGCTGACAGGCTGTGTCCTTCCGCATCATCAGATACTCCTGGCAGTCCGCGCTGCTGGCGACGTTGCTCGGCTTTTTCCAGCGGCGTTCGCTACCGTTCATGGGTCCATTCTGCAAGTGGAAGCCTAGAAGCACCTTACACAACCAGTTGACGTTGGACCCTTTGCAAGGTAGACCTACATGAGCCGATGTTTTTTAAACATCAGTGACTCAGTCGCTGCAAAGTGTGTTTTCTCGGCGCGTCAACCCTTGCATTGGACCCTATAATGTCCGTGTTCCAACCTATTAGGATACTTGAAATTCCCATGCAAAGCTTTTTGAAGTCTACTTGGTTGGGTCCCAACCCTTTCTTTTGAATACAGCCAAGTTGTTTGGCTTCCTGGACCAAACTCCGCTTCCAATTCCCAGCGCCTTGGAGCTTGGGTCAACAGTTGCAACTGGTTGAAAGAAAGGAGCTTCGCCAGGATGGCTTCACTGGCTCCATGCTTCCGCTGCCCACCCGTCAGGAGAGGCACGCCGGGCAAGTCGCCTCAAAATACCTCGCAAGTGAGCAGAAGGAAAATGGATTTTGGTGTGCCACTTTCGGTGATTCGAAGGGAGATAGGCAGGGCCGTCTCTCCTGTCGCCACAAACTTTCTGCGCTATATCAGGTGAGCAGTGCCCTTGAAAGCTGGGTTGTCTTAGTAGGTACTTGGTCGATGTTGGCCCCTTGAACGAAAGCTAGCTCTCCCAGCTCGAACTCGCTTGGCAAAGAACTGGGTCGAGGCCACGGAGCGCCAGGCCGAGACAAGGAGGCTTTGAGGAGCAAGAGGTGGAGAGGCGCCGGATGGCGCCGGCTTCGTAGCGGTTTGGATTCCTCATTCCAGCTGAAGTCCCCGAGGGCAGGGGAGGGGAAGCTGGGGATCATGAATGTCATGGATGGAGCGCATGTTACGTGCACTGCCCGGGGTGCATCTGAGGTTTGTGGTCAAACTGTCCTCTGTCTGTGTGAATCATTCGGGGATCGGGAAATTTAGCAGGGGAGCCGAATTTCAGACCCACTGTTTTTTTCATGTGAATTATGAGTAGCAGCCTTTTTTGACTGTGGCTCGTTTGCCTTTGAGCTGGTAAAGCGATCTTAGGAAGGTGCCTTGCACAGGGATCTCTTGCTTTAGGCCTGGGAAGTTTGATCATGTTTCGTTCAGTTAGGCATCTCACGGCTACCCGACTACCCTTTGTTGGAAAAATGAGTGGTTGCCCCGGAAAGAAAAAAAGTGGTTCCGGTTTCTCAATCAAAAAAACGGGGGTCTTCACTATTATCTGGGCAACATTGCTCTTGTTCATACCCACGTCCCCTTGTGGGCATATACCGATTACAAAGTCGGTTGAGGGGCTTTATGCCCGCCGTACACCCCGGTGCAAGCCCATCGGGTTCACAACCCGCTTTATACCCCGTTACAAAGTTGGCCGGTGAAGGATCTGAGTGCGAACCAGGGATACCTCCATGCCAACTGCGACGGGCCGACGGCCCGACTCGCCAGGCCCCCAACCCCCGACAACTCGGAAAGTGCCAAGAGGTGGGCTGAAAAGGCGCGCAAAGGGCGGCTTGGGGCAAGGGGCTAAAGAACAAGCCGAGAAACCGGCTGGACGCCAAAAATAAATAAACCCCTGACTACTAGGTGGGTGTGTCCCTCAAATGTCAATGGCTCCGTCTTATATGGGACAACCTATTTATCAACTAGAAGTCCCATATTGTGGAATCATCCCTGTCCGTTAAGCCTCGAGTTGTTGTTGGCCGTTTTCATCATCATCCAAAGTTTAGTAAAGGCCGAAATAAAATTCACTTGTACTGGCCTGTCAGTCCAGCAGGCCAGTAAAGGAAACTACACGTGGATGCACATGTTTTTTCTAGCGCCCTATAAAACACTCAGCTAGTTTTGGGATTCCTTCTCTTCGGGAACTTTGGCCATGTGAGGAGCTTACAGTTGAAAGACCGAGGATATCCAGAAATCCTGCGTTTGCATGGTTCCTTTCAGGAGCGGTGCTGCTCTAACTTGGCTGGCCTTAGTTTGACCCTTGATCAGGCATGTTGAAATAATGATGGTTCCCCCACGCACTAGCAAAACAAAAGAAGCCTTGCTGCTCTAACTTGGCTGGCCTTAGTTTGACCCTTGATCAGGCATGTTGAAATAATGATGGTTCCCCCACGCACTAGCAAAACAAAAGAAGCCTTGAACTGATTGAGAAAATGACCCCTTGTCCCGCCAACCAGCAAATCAAGCATTCTTTAGCTTTCAGGGGGCCAAAGACCAGCCTAGTCAAGGGCCACATTCACAAGTTCCCAAAAGTCGAGCGCAGGGTTACAGCGTGATCACCAGCGAAGCAGCACTGGAGCTGAATCAGTGGTTGAGATCAAAGATGGAGGACCGAGCTACTGGAGGGCGACGTTTTGATGTTTTAGGTGGTTGTTATGTTCTCTCTTCTTTCTTTCTTTTTTTTTTTGGGGGGGGGGAGGGGGGAGGGGTGGGGTAGGTTTCCCTGTTGCCTAAATGGAGACAAAAGGGGGGCGTTAGCATTGGGGTTTCCTATTTTGGGACGCACCCAACAATTGTTGCAGTGGCTCCCCAACCTGCGATGTCCGGTGCCAAATCTTCCTGGTGAATACACCTGCAGACGGCCCAAGCCTCGATGGCGAATGTCAGGCCAGTCGGACTTGGGATTTTGCTTGCTTTACATGTTGCAAGTGAGGGGAGTCTGTCGATTCTTGGGCCGAACCTCTTGGGGCGGTTGCAAGCACATGCGAGCCTTTGCATCCAGAGGACAAGAAGTCCAAGAAGAGCTCCAAGGCTTTGGTCAAGGCCGGTGTCCTCTCCTACAGGTCTAGACTAGACACATAGGTGTCTGCGCTCGCCAGGGAAAACTGCATTTAAACATGTAGAAATACATAGCCTTCAGGATTCGTTGGCTCACGGATCAACTCAAAATCCTCATGTTTGTTTTGCCCAACCAAGCCCCCGGCTGTTTCTCCTTGAGCCGCGTGATGACCTTGTGGAAGTTGTCAGGTTCCACTTGCTGTTAGCGGCGAAGGAGCCCTCCCCAATTTGTCGTTCAGCAAACGTGGGTGTGGGCGCCAACCACATGTCACAGAAAAAAGCAGCACATTTCCACAGCCCTGCTTTTGCGCCAAATGGCAGAGATAGAGAGAGAGAGAGAGAGAGAGAGAGAGCGAGAGCGAGCGAGAGAGCGGCGCATCATGTGCAGTTTTATGTGCCTGTCTAAACCCATTTGAAGGGTTCCCTTGAAGTGACCGACGTGGGCTGGAGGCCAGTGGCCTCAAGTACCTGGTCAATGTGATGCGGGGCATGAACACAAAGGCAGGTTTTGCCGTGCCATTCACGGAAAAGACGATTTGAAATTGTTGTTTGTGATTTTTGACTCACTGATACCTTGGCTTGACTAAATCAACCTTCCAGATTGGAATCGGTTGTTGGGCAAAGGGAAGTCACTATTCCAGTCCTGGACCGGGTTTTCCTTCGCCAGGCTGTGGGGAACGTGGAGGTGGAAAAGAACGTTTCGGAAAAAGAGGCGTGGAGCATGCGGGCATGTGCGGCGGAGCAACGGCACGAGAAAGGGCGGCCGGTCTGATGGGGGAGGTGGCTGGGCCCCCTTTTCACAGAAGCTAGCGTAGCTATCCGCGCTTCTTGACGATCCACAAGTCCTCAATTGAATACTTGTCCAAAGCCCTTCTCCCTCCACTCTCTCCTGCCGCCTCCTTCCCGACCCTCGCATGTGCCCCACCCACCCGGCGCGCCCTTGCGTCACCTGCAGAGTTTCCAGCAACATCGTGCCCGATTACTGTGGGAGGGTGTTGGGACCGTTGTTTTAAGGGTCCACCCTGGGGCTGGCTCTGAGGTCAAGCAAGCAGCTGTGGAGCTGCTGCTCGCTGAGGGCCACCTAAAGGCACAACAGCGGCAGGGCTGCTGAAAGCGAGGGGAAATGTCTCTCAATGTGGTGGACCCCTTTTGGTTTATATTCAAAGGTACGCCCAAAGGAAACCAATCTCCCCCCCATACATCCTTCTTGCTTAAGAAAAGCGAAAACGGGCCCCTTTGCGGGGTGGTTTCAACATCTCCTCGTTGGTAATGATGATTGGCGTTCCGTTTGGGATGATGGTATTGCGAGGGTACCCTTCTTGGGTCCTTCAGAAACCCACAATTTTCGACTTTTCGGGGCGCACCTATTTTGACACACGCCATCTCAGGAACCCCCGTTTCCCGTCTTTCTTAGATTCCTGCTTGCCAGGCGGGAGAGCAGCACAAAGGCATCACCATCTCCAAGAACACCATCAGCGTGAAGCTCTAGTTGCGTTTCCTACGAGGGCGCATCTGGGGTCTCCTCCAAAACGATGTGTGACTTTAGGGTTGGCGAAATACGAAACATAATCTGAGAATATGCTTTCCCGTGTACCCCAGATCTGGGCCAAGGTATGTACATAGCAGCCTCTTCAGCAAATATTGCTGCCAGGCGACAGACAATGACACCACAGCAAGGGAAAAGTCCGCCTTTGCATGGGCTGGTTGCGTTGGCGTACAAAACGGGCACGAACCCCGGACAAGTCATTCGCCCACTGCAAGGTGGGCGGTTGAGCCAGCTTGCGAAAAAGGATGCCATTTGGCCACTTAAAACATGTCCTTTTCCTCCAGACCAACACGAAGTCACCATTTTAGAGTAGCGTTCACTGATGTGATTCACAACCAGCCGTACTTCCAAAGGCGGGAGTGTTGCGCAGCCACTTGGCTCCAAGTCTGCTCAAGCTTCGCCGGTTCCGTTATGCCGACGCCGACGGCAATGGCATGATCTCTGGGGAGGAAGGGTTGGGCAGAGAAGGCAATGGGCCGCTATGCTGGGTTCTCCTGCAATTCTGCTGGCATTTTCGAGCAGGCTGAATATGAAATAGAGTCTGAACATATTTTTCTGCGTGCCAAAGATGTGAAGCAAGTTTAAAGGTGGAACCATGAGGAGGTTGTTTGAATTTAAGGAGGCTTAAACATGTCAAGAGCCCCTTGAAGGAGATCCAGATGCTGCTTGCCTCCCTTCCAGGGCTCAAGGGCCTTAATTAAGCTGGATGATTTGATCGCAGCGCTTGATGTCAACGATGGCGACCAGATTCCTAGAGAAGAGTGTCTTGCCAAAAAGGCGGGTTGACATGTCTACCATGTTGCCTGGTTTCGGTGTAAGTTATTGACGAGGCTCCCACCGAAGTTTGCCTCTCACCTTCAGAGCTGACTTGAGAGTTGTTTGACAACAGGGTAGACGAAAACCCAAGAGTTTGTTTCCCTGTGTAAATCAACCTCTCCTGGGTTTTGGACCCTGTGGGCTGGCCCGCCAAGGTTCACAAATGGACTCTTCGAGGCCAAGGAGGGGCATAAACCCTGCGAGGTGTCTACGAACCAACTCCTGAACTTTTCGCCCTCGGGCTGTAGTGCCGCCGGCACTGAATAGCCCAAAAAGGATGCCAAAACGAGGGTGGTTTTTTGAGGCCGTGGCCCCAAAAGAGGTCAGGGTCAGGGTCTATTCTTTTTGACGTATCAATAGATAATTTGCTGTTCAGCCTCGCGTTGAAGGGAACTGAAAGGAGCCCGTCATTTTTGGTCGGGAAATGTTGCACGAAGGTGAAGAACTTCACCACCCCCGACATCGTGGGATACGACGAAAGGAGCTTGCTAGATGACACCAGCTGGCTGCAGCTAGTCTTTACAAGAGACACTTGGCTGGCTTAGGGAGGGCTATGGGGCACCCTTCCTCAAACAAGCATGGGTTTGGTGCACCCGTTCCTTTGGGAGACTTCTTTTTTTTGGGAGAAGGTTCCTGTGGTTAGTTGGTGGGGAGATGTTTTTTTGTGGCTCCCATCTTGTCGGCCAGGCCTTTGGAGCAAAGAGCCTATTGCAGTTTGAGATCTTGGAGGTCAAAAGTGGGGGGTCCCCTCCGTGATCCCAAAAGTGACCGGTAGTGTGCAAACCCTTCGAAGTCAAGGTTGCGCGGAAGTTCATCATGGAGGGTCTTTGCTCCAGGACGTCCTGCTGGATGGCGATGTCAATGACATGCTGGAGGATGTTGGGCCAGTCGCCTTTGGGCATAAGTCATTGGATGCACTGCAGGGCTGGGCTGCAAACTACAGCTCAAGATAGCTCAAGTGGAGACGGCGACAAGTGACAGTTTCGCATGCCTTGACATCCAGCTGGTCAAAATATGGGGTGCATGTGTGTGTGTGTGTGTGTGTGTCGCCACCCGCGTGGTCACGTTGCTTTGCGCAACGCTCTCGCTGTCCCGTCCAGTGGCTAAGTTGGTTTTTGTTGGGTGTCTTTTCGACTTGCTCATGTGCCACTCTTCCAAGAAGAATATGGATTGATCTCAGTGCCACTCTTCCAAGAAGAATATGGATTGATCTCAGGCTGTGAGTCAGGACGCGTGATGGTGAATGATGTGATGCTTGTTTGATTCACGAGGGTGAAAGGCATGTAGTTGGACAGTTCAATTAAGAATGACAACACATGCTGCTATCAATCAGTAAATGAATATGTAATTTGGGACTGTCTCTGCCTATGGGTGCAAGTTGTGTTTTGTTGTTTAAAGTTGAGCTATAGGCGTGGGAATGTCAAGTCATGTGCTAGTTCAAGAATGATGCACAAATAAGCACCCCTTCCCCCGACTGCCCTACAAGGGCTGACGTTGTGTCCCGAAGAATGCCCTCTACAAAGCTGTTCGTTGAGAATTCCCGCACCTAAGGTTCCTGTTTTACCTGGCAAGGGCTTGGAGAGCATTGCGGTGATGCAGCATATCCGGAAACTGTGTAGAGCGCATGCATGCTCCAACCCTTAGGGGCCCATAGCCTTCTGTTATCTATATTATTTATGTTCAGCGGCAATATGTTGAATCTACCTTAGTAGGGCATTAAGATATTAAACATTATTATGGCCAGATCTTGCCTCCGCTTGCCTCACACACGCGGAAGAGCAGCATCACCA